GGAGGGGGAAGAGGAGGAGGAAGGGAAGGGGAGGAGGAGAAAGGACAAGAGGAGAAGGAAGAAGAAGAAGGAGCTCTTCACATCCATGCACTCATGTTTATTCCCAGGAAACATACTTGTGCAATTTCCCATTTTAAATGTTAAACCAGTTCCCTAGCTCTGTGGAAAGATATAAGGAAGTTAACCATATACTGGAACCTTAGTCTGTGTCAATCTCCATCATAGTTTCTTCCTCAAACATACCTCACTGACCACAGATCCTATGGTCGTGGAACTCAGCTGGCTAATATGGCAGGATATTGTCCCAGATTATAAGGTGAAAAGGATGGAAGGGTGAGTAGTCAATATTGAATTCTGTCTGCTCTTCTTACTTCTCCTCTCATACCCATACCCCCCACCCTGGAATTGCTCTCGTTTGTTCACCCCAACACATTTATAACTTTATGTTATTTGTTGGATTGGTGGGTTAGGGATGCTTTTAATAAGAAGTCCCACATGAGGGAGCTGCAAACATGCCTACCTCCAGTGAGTTCCATGATCAGCTTGCTGGATTTCCTCTTCTTGTTGGGGGCTGGGGTTCCCGAGAGCGGCATTTTGGAGGTATATTCTACCTGGATGGGGTAGGAATAGGGTTTAGAGGATTTACAGGAACTGGGAAAAGTGTTTATAGTAGAGCAATATTTCTTAACCTGAGAAGGCTTAAGGGGAAAATTTCCTCAGGTTTTCAAAGAAATATGTATTTCCCCAAAAGATGAAAATCCACTGTCTTAGGGGTTCTGTTTTCTTCGGAAACAGGGTCGGAAACAGAGATATACCCTGTCCTTACCTTCTACCAACCTCTTATGGGCTATTTTACATAGAAATATTTTATAAGAAACATAGCTGAGGGAAAGGGATGTTTAAAAGAAAACAAGAACAACTCACGTAGGACAGTGCACCCAAGTTTCATGGGTTTGGTGTGATTTGAAGTTTTTACTCGTATTGGGATATCAGACTGGGGTTGATTTCAGGCTCTGGTCTCTCCTCAGTCTTCCTCCAAGTCCCAAGGGGGTGGAGAAATGTTCTGCCAGGGTTCAGGACATTCAGCCAAAAACATTCTCCATAGGAAGGAGAGGTTGTTGCTCCACCAATGGGCCAGCTGGAACATGGCCTGGGAGGTCATGGCTGTGCTCCCTGCTGCTACAGTCACTCATGCTCCAGACCCCAGAGCTCAAATGGGTTTGGGGAACCAAGGAGCATTTGAACCATGTTACAAGTCAGTCAATACCATAGCAGTAGAGAATTGAGGGAGGACAAGAACATAGTAATAGGATCTGGCCATGGTTGGGGACAAGCTGGGAAAAGATAGAGACTCCAGCCCCTCCTTAACAGCAGTTGGCATGCAGAGACATGCTGAGTCTTCTGCTGAGTCTTGTCTCACAAACACATCTACAACTACTAACTTATTGGGGCCTCAGAACCCCTATCCATTCATCAAATGCCTCCCCGCAACTTTCTGGGCTCTTCTCTTTCCAGCTCTCTGGTTTCCCCTGGACAGCTGGGAGATAAGCATAATAGGAGGGGAAAGGGCTACTACCCAAGGGTCAAGAATCACAATTGCAGACACAGAAGTTAACCAAGTGAGCTCCAGCACCTTAAGTCATAGAGCCGCACACTTACCGGCTGCTTAGTTGGTGATCAGCTCTCCCTGGGGTCCAGCAGCTTTGGAGGACCCAGCTGCTGTGACCGGAGAACCGAGCTGGGCAGGCGTGGGGGCAGCACTGGCAGTGGGGGAGGGAGGATGGTTATTAATAGAGATGATGAGTGCAAGCAGCTCAAATGGCACAGGGGGTACTGAGACCCTGGAACCAAGATCCCGCCCTCCTTGCCCAGAGGCTCAAGAAGGGGAGAATGGCCTTTGGGATACTCCCACTGAGCTGACTGAGCTAGGAATCAATCTCCCTAGGGGTTCCCCTTTGCACCTAGAGTCTGAAATCCAAAGAAGCATTCAGGGAGAAATTGAAGATAGAGGGAGAGGAAAAGGGAAGTTAAATTCAGAGTAGAAGAGAACCTAGAAAATGTGCCCTGCAGTCACTCAGAGCTGCTCCAGGCCAAAGCTGGAGGGACCTGTGGGTATATTTAGAAGTAGGAAAGATTAAGGCATTATATTTGAAGACAGGATGGATGTCTTCATAATTGAACTTCTTTTTAAAAATACCTAGGTTTTTTTTTTTTTTTTTTCCTCTGAGAGAGCAAATTAATGAAACGCAGTGCAGTAAGGGATGTGTGGGGATGACCACCAATTCTTCTGTCTCTTCACTCCCTTTTCTTTCCTCTTAAACTCTGGAAGTTCTAAGAATAGGTGGACACCACAATCTGTGTTTTGGTTCCTGTTTGCTGCTGGGGTGCTCAGCCTGCTGTGCAGGATAGATGTTATCTCCCTGAGAAGGTCTTGTAGGCTTCTGATCTGCCCAGGCCTTGCTCTCCAAGGTTCCTACTTTGGATTTCTTTCAAGAGAAACACACACTCTATTTAAGATCTGGACTATCCCATTTGTACTGTTCTAAAGAAGCCTCTTGGCAAAGGTACAAGCTTGAGTGCCCCTTTGGAGGAAGGCTATCATTTGTACAGCACCTTCCTCAGTAACTACAGAAACATTTTGGATCCTTCTCCAACTTCTTTTCAGGGTCTAGAACCAGATGCTACATTCCTGCAGCCACTACTATTGCACTATTACAGCTGCCTCAGGATTTTTTGTGTGTGTGTGTGTATTAGGGATTGAGCTCTGAGCTAGGGACACTCAACCACTGAGTCACATCCCCAGCCCCATTTTGTATTTTATTTTGAGACAGGATCTCACTGAGTTGCTTCGCGCCTCACTATTGCTGAGAATGCCTTTTGGACTTGAGATTCTCCTGCCTCAGCCTTTGAGCTGCTGGGATTACAGGAATAGGCCACTGTGCCCAGCAGGAAATGGTTTTTGAAGTTTACAGAATATACTCCTGTCCCTCTGGGACGTCTCCACTTTTCCTGTTCATACCCTCCTTCCATCCTATACTTTCCAGGTTCAGGATAGGGGCTCAAAGTTCCCCTACCTACTACCACATTGGTTTCTGTCCAGACCAGCTATGCTTCCAGATCCTTCATCTTTAGTCCTCCTCCTCTGTTCCTTCCCAACACAAGGAAGCAACTTAGAAGAAGAAACACAAGTATCAAAAGGTGATTTCATCATCACCTCTAAAAAACAAACTCAAAGTTTAATGTCGTATGATTGAATATCTAGAACTGCTTTAGTGGGTGAAGACAGGCTATTTAGCTCTATGGTCTCTGGTGTTTGCAAACATCTAGTTATTGGCACAAATATGCCCTCTGCTGGTTAATTGGAGCAATGGCACTTTCCTTCTCAGTCTCTCCGGATTCTGATGCCTTCCCTTCTCTATTAGCCTCAATCCGCTCCTCCAACTTTCTTTCTTCACTCTCCCTTCTCATTCATTACTATTCCTTCATTTATCTCATATAAATCTTTCACCTTTTACTATCCCTTCATTTAATTCCCAGAGAATGTTTAACATGGATGTTTCCTATAAGTAGGAAATGTTGATGGCAAACTTCTCGCAATTTCCTTGCCTGAAAAGTATGGAGCAGTAGAAGGAGAGGAGGAGAAATCTGATGGAGACTGCACTGAGAAGAAATAAAGAGGAGAGGTGGAGGTGCCTAAATCAAAGAAGGATACATTTGATAGGAGTAAAAGACTAGGGAATGAAGGGCAAAGGACTGAAAAATGGAGGGCAGGATTGGAAATAGAAATTTGAAATTGAATTAGAGGAATGGGTCAGAGACGATCAAGGTGGGGTCAGGATTTGTGTATAAAATCAGAAGAGATGACAGCAATAGAAAGTATGGGGCATAAGTTTATTCTTGTGCACAAACCAAAGGACTGTGACTCACACCCTGTATGTAAAGGAAATGATCATTTTCCAGATCAAACAGCAAACGTGGCTGGTGGTAGTCTTGGTGAGAGGTGAATCCGTACTCTTCTAGGATCGGAAATTAGGAACTAAAGCTGAAAAGGAACACAAGCTAGGAATGGAGTAGGACTGAAAAGAGGTTTTGGTTCTGGGTATTTCCCTGTTCTTTCCCAGATAGTCATGACATGCTGCAGAAGACAAACTGAAGGATAGACTCATGGGAGATAGCATGGACACAAACTCTTCTTTCAACATTCAGCACACACCCTCATGCTTCCCTCTCACTATCATCCCACATCCCACAACCCACTTCACTTTAACAAATACGTTCTTTTTCCTCAAAATTTTTCTCAGTCCCCCTCTTGCTCACAGTTGGCTTCTTGTGGGGTTTCTCTGCCAAGACTGCCCTCTCTATGCTTCTCTCTGGCTCAATCACTTTCACTCATTTCTGCTCTGCAACTGGTTTCTATCTCATTCTCCCCAGCCTTTCTTTCTGTTTTAGGCTTATGAAACAATGAAGACAATAATTTGTTCATTCTTAGAGGAAATTCTCCCTCTTTCTCTCTTTTACTTCCTGAATACTGAATTGCTCATCATGGACCTCTAATTGCTAATTTTGTGAAATGCAGTGAAACAGAAGAATTCTTAGTTCTATTCCTGGTCTACCTTAGCCTATGCAAATTGTCCCAGTCCTTCAGTCTTGTCATACTCCATTAGTTTCACAAGATGTAGCACCTGCTACAGATGCTAAGGAATTATTCTTCAGTGTAGCTCTTTCTCCCTGCTAGATTCCATGTAGGGATATCTGACCCTTCTGTTAGCACAAGGAAAAGACCCAGATAAGGTCTTTATTTAGACCTCCCCTCTTATTTTTGTCTCAGAAGAGCACATCTGTGGCATATCTGATCACTTGCCAGGTCAAATCCTGATCACACACACGTGCACATACTGGCATACACACATACATACCTAGGAATATGCCAGATAACCTTGAGAAAGCAGAATGAAAACTGGGAGTGGGTAGACAAATAGGGGTCAATTCAGTCCCTTGGCTGACTGTTAGTGGGGAGCTCCTTGCCTGAGGTCCCAGTGTTACTTACATTCTGTGTGCTTCTCACTGAACATTAAAATGAGACCCACAGAGGAAGCACAAATGTAAAGAAATAGAGACCTCTGGAGGCACATGGATAGAGAGACCAGGAGATAAAGAGAGTTCCAGGCAAGTAAATACAGAGACAAGGAGAAGCAAAGATACCAAAGCAGAGATAATAGGTTGGAAAGCAGCAGGGAGATGGGAAAGTCAGGATGAAGCTAGGGATGGGACGCTTAACTCCAAAACTATTTCTGGTTGGAGGGAATTTAACCTCCTGATGCTTGAGGGTATGATAGGGCAGGAGAAGTCACTTCAGAGACTGGATGTTCCACTTCTCCATGGTCCTGGGACCTATTTCCGGCTCATTGGTGCCCTGCTCCAGGTTTCCACACATGAGCCTGTAATCCTGTTCTGATGGCCGAGAATCTGGGCCTGGCCACCTGAAAACTACAGGAGCTAGGGGTGGTTCCAAGACTCCTAGGAGATTCTGGAGGAAGAATTGGGCTAGAAACAGAGGCTGAGGCCAGCTCTGCCCTCCAGATGGGCTCATCCAGTGTAGTGGCTGCTCGAGGGGCAAGCACAGTGGGAGCCAAGGGCTCTGCAGTGGGCTGGGGTGCCGGAGTGGAAAATCGGCGGATTTCCTGGACTCGAACAGTTTTGGGGGTCCCTGAGGAGGTGGGGCCAGGAGTTGGAGGAACCTCATCAAAACAGAACATGGCAGATTTAAGCTGGTAGGGCTGATGTCGCATGAAATCCAGAGCCTTGATGCCCTGTTTGGGGGTTGCCCGAGGCCCCTGAGATTGAGCCTTATTAGGGAGTGTTCGGGCAGCCTGGGGGAAAAAGGGTGAAAGCAGTGGGTTATAAGCAATAGGAGGTGGGGCACGAATGTTAGGTGAATATTTCCATGAAGGGGGCAGCGAGGGGGTAGGAGATGGACTTCTGGGCCGAGGACCAGGGCCAAGACCAGGACCAGGTGTAGCTTCCACTACATACCTGTCGGCCCGGCTCTGCCGCTTGGCAAACAGCTCCCCACCCCTGCCCCCCAGCCTTGGTGGCTCAGGGATTGAAGCTGGAGGGGTCGCCCCATTCACTAGCCCATCAAGGAGCCCTCGAGATGCCGGTTTCGGAGCAACTGGGGGTGGAGTCTTAGGAGCCATGGGGGGTGGGGTCTTGGGAGCTATTGGAGCCAGAATTTTAGGTGTCACGTGAGGCAGGGTCTTGTAACTGCTGCCCCCTGGTGGCTGCATGAAATTACAGGCTTCAGCTCCGAGGCTCAAAGCGTCCTCCTCGGGACCAGATTCAGCACCGCCGGTCCGGGGTTTTTCATCCAGGTTCTGCACCAGGGATAGCAGCTCCGGGTTGGGCGAGTTCTTCGTCTCCTGGTTTCCTGGCCGGAACATCTGTTTCCGGGTCCCGCGGCGCCGGGCCTCCTGCAGGATGCCGGTGCGGGCAGCTGGCACAGAGATGCGCTGCTCCCGAGCGCTGGAGGGCTCAGGGGCCGCGGGGCCTGGAGTCGGCCCCTCTGAGCGCGCAGAGGGTCGCAGAGGCGATGACAGGAAGATAGAAGCAGTGGAGGTCATGGCACCTGCGCTAGGAGGAGCGGAGGACTCTGGGGCGCCCCCGGGTGTAACAGGCCTACTGGGGGCTGGGATGTACAGGGAGCTGGTAGCCGTCACAGGGCCCGAGGAGCGTGGTATGCTGGGGGAACCTGAGGCGGGCGCGAGGCTGGACACCCCTGTGGTGAAGCTGGGCAGAGAAGTGGGCCCCTGTGGAGAGGACGCAAAGGGAGGTGGAGCTGGGCTGAGGACTCCCAGGCTTTCATTCGCCCTCTTGGGGCCTGAGGGCCTGAAAATAACCGAGGTGGTACCTGGCCTCTGCCCTTGTAAGCCCGGGGTAAAGGGCCTAGCTGACCTGTTAAAGATGCTTGGAGCTGGGGTCGGTGCGCCACCATCTGGAAGAAAAGGTCTAGGGCTGACAACAGGGGCCAGCAAAGGGCTGGGCGGGAGTACAGCAGCTTCTGGGGGAGCACTCTGGGCCCGAGGTGGTGACTGCAGACCCTGTCCATTGAGCGTGGCTGCTGGACCCACATGATCCAGCTCCTTGATGCTGGAGGCTGCGCGCTGGCGCTGCTGTTCAAAGAGCTGGACCCCTCTGCCAGAGGTCTCACTCAATTGCCCTCCTAGCCCGGGGCCCTGGCCATCGGCTGCTCTTGAACCCACCCTGGCCAGCTCCATGTCCAGATAGGGGCTATCCCAGTCAGACTGATTGGTGAGGCTGCGGGCGTCAGAGAAGGCCTCTTCATCCAGCTCAGACTCGCTTGTTGGGGGGATGCCGTCTTCCTCCTCAGCGCCTGTGCCAGCTGCAGCCCCGAAGCTCACTAGGGTGTACTTCTTTGCTCTTTGCCGTCGTTTCTTAAACATAAGCACCCCCTTGGAGTGAGGGTTGGGAGCTGCAGTTAGCAGGGATGCAATCGTCCTGCATTTGGTCTTGGCCTCCTTCACACTCTTCTCTTGGAGGCTCTCTGCACGTTGCAGTTCTGAGGAGGCCAAGCAGTAGATTGATCAGTGGGGGTTTACAACCTCTTCTATTCTTGCTCCCCAAAGTTTTCACCTCTCATCCCAGCCATCTCCCTCACAACTCCCACCTCTTGTTTTCACTGGCCAGACCCCACAATGCCTCCTGCCAATCAAAGTCCTCTGACTTGGGGACAGAGTGGAGGGTGCAAGGCGAAACCAAGGACAGTTAAAGGAAAGGCAGTCCAGTTGGCTGTCCTGACTGCTGTGACCATACCTCTTCCTCTATTCTGTCCCTATCTGTCCAGAGATGTTCCCTTATCCACCCCACACACATTCCTCACCTGCCTCCCATTCCTGACTGACATAGGGGGGAGATGTCACTTTCCATGGCAGAAAAGAAAAAAAGGCAGGTCCCAGAGAGAGAAAAAAATGAGAAGGGACAATTTTCCACCACAATAGAGACCATGTAAGGTGGGGTGGGGATTTACACCCTCTTCCCACCTGTTACCCCTAGGACCAAGACACAAAGGCTTCTTAGCAATGAGATCTTCAGTCAATTCCATCTCCCTCATGTAGTCCATATCGTAAACACTCATAGAAATAACTCCCATGATACACCATTTCAACAAGAATATCTGTCTACCGGAAGTTAACCGTGGACATACTTTCTCTTATGTATTTTTCTCTCATTCAGGTATATTCCAGCTTATAAACTCCTCACATACATATATGCAAATACACACATGCCCATACAAAAATAGTTACTTAAATACATTCACACAAGGCACCCTCCAGGTGGCTTTTCTTTCCAGAGTTCCTCCTGCAGAGACCCTGTTACTAACAGAGAGTATTTTAGGTTTGATCTTGGCCCTTCAACTACCAGGGCACTCCTTTGTGCTCCATACCCCTTTCTACTCACAGCCAGTAGTTAGTCTCAGATCCAAAAGTCAGGAAAAGCCAGAGTGCCGTTCTCCAAGGCAACCCTCCAAATCTTTAGGATATCTCAAAGGCATCAGGTAAATATATTGTCCTTTTCTCTAAAATGGTGATAGAAATGAAATAGGTTTCTTTGGGGGGAGGTCAGAAATGTCCCCCAATTTCCATGCCTTTGCCAGGCCTTTTAATGTACAGAGTTCAGGCTGCTGCCACCAGGCAGTCACAGAAGGACTGTGTGCTAAAGAGAACTAGGGCAGGGCTTTGCATGCCATGTGAGGCCTGGGTAGGTGGAGCTAGGAAATGGGAGAGGCTGTCCTGCTGTTAAGACCTAGCCTTAAACATGGATACTGCCTGGCCTGTGGTCCCCAGTTCCTACTGAAAAATTCTTGAAATTCCATCTACTTTCCACTCACTCAAGATACAAGGTTCTTGGGGTGGGGGTTGTAGCTCAGTGGTAGAGTGCTTGCCTAGAACATGTGAGGTACTGGGTTCAATTCTCAGTACCACATAAAAATAAATAAAATAAAAGTATTGTGCCCTAAAAAAAAGAAAATTAAAAAAAAGACAACAAGTTCTTTTTTTTTTTTTAAGGCACTGCGCAATGAACCCAGGGACAGTCTATCACTGAGCTACACCCTCAGCTCTTTTATTTTATTTTGAGACAGGGTCTCACTAAGTTGCCAAAGCTGACCTCCAACTTGCGATCCTCCTGCCTCAGCCTTCCAAATTGCAGGAATTACAGACGAGTGCCAACATGCCTAGCCACTAATCACCTTTCTAATTAGGGCTTTCATTTCTCTCATTCGAGTGTCTATAACACTGAATAGTACTGTAGAAAGAATAGGCACTGGAGTCATAGTTCATTTCAGGTTTTGGGTTCTTGGGTGAATTACTTCACCTCATTGAAGTTCAGTTTCCTCATCTGTAAATGAGGATAATAATGGCTACCTCATAGGGTTGCTATGAGGATTAAACATAGTAATGTAAGTAAGTTTAGCACTTAACACAATGCTAAGGTCATCTATGAGTGACCTTAACTCTCAAAGCTTTCTTTTTATTTTTTAAAGAGAGAGAGAGAATTTTAATATTTATCTTTTTAGTTTTTGGCGGACACAACATCTTTGTTTGTATGTGGTGCTGAGGATCGAACCCTGGCCGCACGCATGCCAGGCGAGCGCGCTACTGCTTGAGCCACATCCCCAGCCCTCAAAGCTTTCTTGACACTAACTGCACATGTGTTCAGATAATTTCTTGTATATATATCTTTTCCCACAGATTCACACATTCATGCCTTCCTATATTCATAATAGGAACTTTCTCTCTCTTTCACACACACACACACAAACACACACACACACACACACACACACACACTGTTCCTATGAGTTTTCTTCAGCTCACGTGGCCATAGACCCCTTTGACATGTGGCCATAACATCAACCCATTCTAAAAAAGGGGCAGTGATGCTCTCCTAAGAAAAGAAAGAAGACAGAAAAGAAAAAGAGGATAAGATGGGGCTGGGGTTGTGGCTCAGTGGTAGCACGCTGGCCTAGCGTGTATTAGGCACTAGGTTCAATTCTCAGCACCACATACAAATAAATAAAATAAAAGTCCATCAACAACTAAAAAATATTAAAAAAAAAACAGAAAAAGGGGATAAGAGAATAAACCTTATTCAAAGTCTATCCTTCTTTAACTATTGAGGCATCACACTCCATTCTAAACACCAGAACTCTCTCAAATATGAGAGGATAGTACCTGCATAGAACGAGTCTTGGAGCTCAGGAACTGGACCTGGGGATTTGTCACAGCTGGCTTGGCTGAGGGGTTCTTGGCTGATGGACTCAAAGGTCTCCATGCCGAGAAAGGCAGTGCTGGCTGGAGCAGGACCAGCTTGATCCATCCCCCACGACTTTTAAAGCCCCTTTGTCTTGTCCCCAGAGCTGGCAGCTGAATGAGCTCACTAAGCTATTTTTGGAGCCCCCCCCCCTTCTCTGGCTGCCCCATAAGTCCTGGTGTGATGGACATGAGCACCTGGCTCCCCTACTCTCCACCCCTCCCACTGGACAATGAGGTCTACTTGATTAAAAATATCCCTGAGCCACTACAGTCTCACCCAGCATGATGAGAAGGGAGGGGACTCTAAAATGAGAACTGGGGATAATTATGGGATCCTGGGCATGCATTTGGAATTTCTTTGTGGGATACTGAACACTCTCAGGGATGTCAAACTCTAAATTGTTATGTCCTTAGCTCCTCAAACTCAGAGACCCAAAAATACGGAATAGGAATCAGAGTGGTGAAAGGAAGGAAAGAAAGATGAGAATTAGAGGAGAACCCTGAGATTTCAGAGGTGACAAAAAAGGTCTCTGTGGGAGGAGCAAGGGAGGCATAGGACAGGGGAAAATTTCACTTTAGGTCTGGTTCTGCAGCTCACATCAAAAATAGCAAAGAGCCTGAGATAAGTGGGACTGGCTTTTTCTATCCAGGCCTACATTCTTTCCTGAGATAAGGAGCCAAAGATCCCTCCCTCTACCACTTCCTAGGGATCTCATGACCATCTCATAGCCTCTCAGTCCCCAGGAATCCCAATTGAACTTACAAATGTCAAAGGTAATTTTGATACCATGCCTGCAATTAACACTTGTAAGGAGTCCTTATAGCCTTGCCCCAGCTTCCCAATATTCCCCTGCTTGTGTCTGTCCTCTGCCTTCACCCCATCCTGGAAACCAGTAAAACAACAGTAACCACCACCAAACCTCGTATCTATTCATGTCTCTTTCCATTTTCTCAGATTATTATGTTCTTAGGTTGACTGAACCACCTGTGTGTGTGTGTGTGTGTGTGTGTGTGTGTGTATACTGGAGATTGAACCCAGGGTCACTTTATCACTGAGCTACATCCCCAGCCCTTTTAATTTTTTTTACTTGAGACAAGGTCTTGCTAAATTGCTTAGGCTGGCCTCAAACTTGCAGTCCTCCTGCCTCAGGCTTCTGAGCCACTGATACCTGTACCTTTTGGCTACACTGGTATAAACAGCAAAAGTAATAGGGACCATGAGAATAATTATTCTCCCCTTTCGTTTATCACTCTTCTCTACTTGTCCCAGAGACTGCATTGAAGGGGCATGAGATAGGTAGAATGTGTAGATATGGAGATGATTTAGAGATCAGATCCTGGCTAGGAAAAAAAAAAAAAAGGGTTCAGGGACTCACTGGCTTGCTTGGCCTTCTGGGTGTAGGTGGTAGTAAGATCTTCTGCCACTGGGTGGGTAACAGGTCCCACCATAGGGATGAGATGAGGGCCAGGCCGGAGTGGACCATGGGGTAACAGCAATGCCTCAGCTGGGGGTGGTTGAAGGGCTGTCCCTTCTTCCCAAGATGGGGAGCTCACACGGCTGTCACCCTGGCTGGGAGGGCCAGTGCTGGCAGGTGCTGGCTCTGCAGGGCTGTCAGACAGGTAGACCTCATCAGGTGGGGCTCCTGGAGGGGTGGGCCTCATGGGGCCTCGGCGGCGGGGCCGACGGGTCTTCTCCTGGGTGGCAGGACCATCAGCATCACTGTCTGTCTCTCCATAGTAAGCCTCGCTGTCAGGGGGTGAGCGAAGGCTTCCAGGCTGAAGAGGCTGAGGAACCGGAGCACCAGGAGGCTCAGGACTCAGTGGAGATAAGGGTGACAGCACCTGAAGCCCCCCAGGGGATGGAGATCTCACAGGCCCTTCATCTGCTACCCTGAATGGGAAAGATGACAGAACTTGAGAGTCTGTGTAACAGCTAAAGTGATGTGAAAGAAATGGGGGAAGAGAGAAAAGAGAAAGGAGACTAACTATATATAAAGTGAAGATCTAAAGACAAAATGGGAAGCAAATGTGCTTGGAGAGCAGTGAGTAGATATGAGCTTTGAGGAAAATATGATGAGGAAGAGACAGGCCAGAGGTTGAAGTAGATCCATCACTCAAACACCTGCTCGACACTCTATCCTTTAATTGCAGATACATTCAAATACTTTGGGGAGGCATACACAAATGTTTATTTTCTAGAAGGAATGTATGAGCAGAGATAGGTACTTGTTAGTTGCTGAAGCCTGGCCAGTGAGACATAGGGCTAAGAAAGAGAAGGGGATTCCTGGACTAGGGGAAAAGGAAAGGAGGAGTCCATACCGCTGCACAGTGAGGACAAGCTGATTCCCTGAGGCATCGATGAGGCTCATGGCACTGGCATGAGAGAGGCTGGTACAAGAAACTCCATTTATTGCCAAGAGCTGGTCCCTCTCTCGGAGTCCTGCTCTGCCAGCCTGGCTCCGTCTTCGGATCTGAGATGGAGGAAAAATTGTAAATGATGGAGGGCTCCAAAGGGAGAAGAATGAAAGGAAAGCAAGAAGGACCCACATGAGAGGATTTTATTTCGTAAAGTAAGAGGGTGGGGAGTGCACAGAACTGTAGCTGAAGAAGACTATCTAGAGGGAAAATGCAGATTGGTGGGAGTAATACATCATTGATGGGAGACAGGATAACCACTGAATGAAAGGGGTTTGGAGAAAACCACGTAGAAGAGGTACTAGAAATGGTGGTATATCACCAAGATTTTCCTCCAAGGGCAATAGTTCTTTTCTAGGCCATGGAATCCCAGGTGCCATTACAAATTAAGATTTTAGACTAGTATTCCAGATCAAAGCCAGCTGTAGTGGCACATGCCTGTAATTCCAGAGACTTGAGAAGTTGAGGCAGGAGGATTGCAAGTTTGAGCCCAGTCTCAGCAACTCAGAAGACTTTGTCTCAAAATTAAGAAAATAAATAAATAAATAATAATAATAAATGCTGGTGATGTAGCTCAATGACAGAGTGCCCCTGTGTTATATCCCTAGTACTGAAAAAAAATATTTCAGATCCAGACCAGCTGGATTCTGGGAGATTATGTTTGTGTGTGTGTATGTGTGCACATACATGGCTACCACTTGTTGAGTTCTTACTAAGTTGTTAGGTACTGTGCTGCATGTGTTACTACACTTAATTCTTAGAATGGTTCTATGAAATAGGTACTATTATTACCCATACTTTACAGTTCAGAAAACTAAGTCTGTAGGATGAAACCAAAAGGGTAATGACTTTTCATCTGAGAGGCCAGATATTGCCAAAACCCTCCCAGCACCTCGAAAAGTCTTGTCTAGTGAGAGAAAGGAACTGACTTAGGGAAAGAAGAGCACTGAAGGCATGAGCAAGGCAGGGCAGGGCAGTGAAGAGCAGGGCAAAGCAGGGCAGGGCAAGGCAAGGAAGGGCAGGGCAGGGCTGGGCTGGGCTGGGTGAAACAATCTCAGCTTGTCACATATCAGTTTAGTCAGAGAGAAATTAGAACCTTCCCTACATTCCTGGAGTTTGGAGTAGAGGGATACACGCAGGAGAGCAAGCACTGGATGACCAGACCCCAGCCTCTGCTACCATGGTGCTACAGGAAACTGAAGTAGAGCTTTTCTTTTTCTCTACTCTCTGGAAACCAGGAATTCTCTTTTCTAGGAGGTCCCTAGAAGAAGTTTGTGATCAGACACTACTCCCTCTTCCAGACTTGAGCATGCTTCCCTACTCATCTGCCCACCTACCCACAGCCTCTTTTTCACAGCCCCGCTTACCCACCTCCCCATTGGCCGCCACATGATTCTTCCCAAATCCCCCAGTGTTCCCTTTTCCCTGAAACTGCATTTCAGGGGCTCTACCTTACCTTGGACACCTGTAAGGGTTTCCTCTGTTCGGCCCCACCCTGAAGTCGGAAGCCCCAGGGGGCTCCCCCTGATAGTGTGACCAGCACCTTCTCCTCAGCACCCATCGCTCAGCTTGGCCTATGGCCCTGGCGTTTGGACAGTGTCCCAAGGGAGAGAAGTTGAGGCGCTGGTACCCCGTCCGGCCTGCCTGTCCGGCTGTCCTGCTCCTGCTGCCCCAGGCCTCCCCCCCACACCACATACGGCAGGCAGGCAACTTGGCCTTGGGATCAGTACAGTCCAGCACACATGTCCCGTCAATCGGAGCTGTGCTCAAAATAGTTGCCGGCTGTACTCTCCTCCTCTTCTTCTCCCAGTTGTGCTACTCCTAGAGCTAATTATAGCACAAACTTCTGCCCTACATGTCTCCCCTTCTTCTGCATGGGCCTTTAACTTAGGACTCAGAGTACTAGCTCTCTGGAGCTCTAGAACTATTGTATACCCTTTCAGGGACTGTGCCTTCCCTGATATGATCATGGACTAATCTCAACTGCTTTCCTCCAAAGCCCATGTCAAAGTGGTAGGAGCCAGGAGCAGGAGGGGCTCAGTACCAGAGCTGGCAAGAAATGGCTCCATAAAATCCCAGGAAAGAGTGTCCCTTTGCTGTACTGTATGAATTTGTCACCATGCCAGGCCTGGATGACAATTTGTCACCATTGCCAGCCACATAGTATACTAATCACAAAAATGCCAAGTTTTTTTCCCTTCAGTATTGAACCCAGAGACACTTTACCACTAATCTACATCCCCAGCCCTTTTCCCTTTTTATTTATTTATTTTGTGTGTGTGTGTGTGTGTGTGTGTGCGCGCGCGTGCACGTGCATGCACACTAGGGATTAAACCCAGGGCTGTGTGCATGCAAGGCAAGCTACATCCTCAGCCCCTTCTTTTTATTTTTTATTTTGAGACAGGGTCTCACTACATTGGCAAGGCTTGCCTTGAACTTGTGTTCTTGCCTCAGTCTCCTGAGTCACTGGGATTACAGGAATGTGCCACCAAACCTGGCTTGAAATGACAAGATTTGGAAAACAGCAAGAGTTTATTCATGAGGTGGCCTAAGGCATGGGGAAAGGTGATTAGAGATTGAATTAATCAGGGGTCTGCACATATGTAACCAGTTTTCATAGCTCTTTTTAGGATTCATGTAAGGAAAATGGTGGAATTAGCATGATCGGAGAGTGGAGGCCTTCTGAGATCAAACAGTCACCCACTGAGTACCTGTACAGCTCCAAGTAGTTTTAGCAAAAGTGGCCTTCAATTCCCTGAAAAGTAACCTAAGCAATTATTATCATCATAGCCCACATGTCAGAGGTGATATCTACAACAAAGCTAGTAGGGGACAATGACACATCTCAGCTCTGTGACCTCTAAAATAAATATGTGATTTTAAAAGTCAACTAAAAGCAAGTAACTAAAAGCAAAGGAAGCTAGATAGTTTATTTAGGTTTTCCCTCCATTTCAAATTTACCTGTTAAGCAAAATGGAAATCTGTATCTCACTGCAGGGATAGAGAGGAGTCTGTGTAGAGGAACTCTGATCAGCTCTGCTTCAGTTGTGTTGTTACCTCTTCCTTAAAGTCTTTTCTGATCCCCTGCCAACTCTCTACCTATAAAATTAATTCTTCCTTCCTTTGGTCAACACACATATCTTGTTCATACTTCTACTGTTTTGTTTTTCAGCCAATAGTATAATTCTGTTCATACACTTATCTTCCTGCCTGGAGTGTGAGAAAGTTTGAGTCAAGAACTGTGTGCCATCAACAGCCCACAGAGTGATGATTGATGTAAAGAGTGTTCAATAAATGTTTGCTAAATTATCATTACAATACCTAGGTTGCCATGTGAAAATGGACACAGATAGGCATGTGTAAATATACCAATTCATGTCAGTAACAAAATCTCTACTTGTTTTTAGATTTCTATTGCATGAAGGTGCCTTACCATTAAGAGACCTCTTTATTACAAAACATAACATGGTGCTGTAACTGTGATTATCAGACTACAGTTTTATGGACTGGCTGCTCCCTTATTGTGTTAATGCTGTTTGCCTTGGTATATGATATAGTCATAGAAAATACAGAATTCTGGGTAAGAACTTGACTTGAGTTCTTTTTTTTGGCGGAGGGCGGGGGAGGTACTGGGGCACTCAGGGGCACTCAACCACATCCCAACCCTATTTTGTATTTTACTTAAAAACAGAGTCTCGGGCTGGGGATGTGGCTCAAGCAGTAGCGTGCTCTCCTGGCATGCGTGTGGCTCGGGTTTGATCCTCAGCGCTACATACAAACAAAGATGTTGCGTCCACTGAAAACTAAAAAATAAATATTAAAATTCTCTCTCTCTAAAAAAAAAAAACAAAAACAAAAACAAAAAAAACAACAACAGAGTCTCACTAAGTTGCTTAGTGCCTTGCTTTTTTGCTGAGGCTGGCTTTGAATTTGAAATCCTCCTGTCTCAGCCTCCTGAGCCCCTGGCAATTATAGGCATACGTCACCACACTGGCTTAGATTTGAGTTCTTGTTCCACTATTTATTACCTGTGTGACCTCATGCAGTTACTTGGCCTCATCAATAAAAGCAGGATCTAGATATCCCTTCATTCACTATTCAAATATTTATTAAGCTGGACATAGTGGTATATGCCTGTAGTCTCAGCTACTCTGGAGGCTAAGGCAGGAGGATCCACTGAACCTAGGAGTTTAAGACCAGTCTGGGAAATTTACAAAGACCCTTTCTCAAAAAACTTATTAAGGACTAGCTATATGTCAGCCATTGTGCTATATTAGTGGCTTTTTTGTTTATTTTTTAAACCAGGTGTGCTCTACCACTGAACTACATCCCCAGCCCTTTTTATTGTTTTATTTTCAAACAAGGTCTTATTAAATTGCTTAGGCCTTCACTAACTCGTGATCTTTCTGCCTCCTGAGTCACTAAAATTGCAGACATGTGCCACTTTGCTGGCCTGGTATTGGCATTTTTAACAGCACTACAGATGGGCCTGTGACTTTGGTAAGAGTGTTTGCCTAGCATGTGTGAGGTCCTGGGTTCAATTTCCACTACTCAGAAAAAAAATCCAGATGATTCTTCTGAGAACCACTGAGTGGAGATAATGCAAAACAATAAAATGATCCCAGTTAGAGTAAGTTATACTCCACATTTGTATAAATATGTCAAAATATACTGTACTATTATATATATCTAAAAAGAAGAAATAAAAAAAAAACAATAAAATGTAACACATTAACCTCTATCCTCAGGAAACTATAAATCTGAGCTCTTCCTAGGGGTGAAATTTTTTTTTAATATTTATTTTTCAGTTTTCGGTGGACACAACATCTTTATTTTATTTTTTAATGTGGTGCTGAGGATCGAACCCAGCGCCCTGCGTGTGCCAGGCGAGTGCGTTACCGCTTGAGCCACATCCCCAGCCCGGGATGAAATTTTTAGTAAAAAAAAAAAAGAAGCTACCTACCTTCTTCTTCTTCTTCTTCTTCTTTTTTTGTTTAGTTGTGCATGGACTCAGTGCCTTTGTTTGTTTTTATGTGGTGCAAGGATCGAATCCGGTGTCTCACACTTTCAAGGCAAGTGCTCTACCACTGAGCCACAACACCAGCTCAAGTTTTTTTTTTTTTTGGTGGTGGCGCTGGGGATTGAACCTGGGGCCTTAAGTACATGCTAGGCAAGCACTCTACTGAGCTATATCCCCAGCCCTCCTACCTATTTTCCTATTGTTGTATGAGAGGCAAGTGAGATAAGTCATGTGAAAATACTTAGCAAAGGGCCCAGCCTATGGCAGGTGCTCAACAAATGTTACTTGAATCTGGCAAATTACTCATCTAGTCTAGTGGTTCTCAATCCTCATTGAGCAAGGGAATCAGTTGGAGGACCCATAAATCATAGTTTACTGGGGCCCATCTCCAAATTTTGACTAAATATATCGAGAGTGGATCAGAAATTTGCATTTCTAACAAGTTCCCAGATGATAGGATCCTATTAATCCTGGGACAATTGACATGATCCTGAGGACTGGAACCATTGGGCTGGTTAGTAAAGTATATCCAATGCCTATACAGTTTCCAGCACAGATTGAAATGCAACTTTTTTCAATGAATGAGCCATGTGTGCCTCAAAATAATTATCTACTGTCAGGATATGAAAGCAAGATGGGCTGCGGTTATAGTCAGTGGTAGAGTACTTGCCTAACATGTGTGAGGCACTACTGTTTGAGCCTCAGCACCACATAAAAATAAAATAAAGATATTGTGTCCATCTGCAACTAAAAAAAAAAAAATATGAAAGCAAGCTGGGGAAATAATTCAGTTGGTAGTGTCCTTGCCTCACATGCACAAGGCCCTGAGTTCAATCCCCAGCACCACAAAAAGAGAATAACTCAAACGATATAAAAGCAAAAACTTTTTTTTTTTCAGTGTTGTAGGTGGCTAGGAAAGCACTCTATTACTGAACTACACCTCCAGACTCAGAGCAAGAACTTTTTTTTTTTTTATGGTACTGGGGATTGAACTCAGGGGCACTCAACCACTGAGCCATATCCCTAGCCCTATTTTGTATTTTAGAGACAGGGTCTCACTGAGTTGTTTAGCGCCTCACCATTGCTGAGGTTGGCTTTGAACTTCCTCAGCCTCCCGAGCTGCTGGGATTACAGGCATGCGCGCCACGAAGCCTGGCAGTTTTTGTTTTTTTTTTTTACTGTTATATTTGCAGGACCTAGAGCACGGGTTGGTTCACAGCAGTGCTCAAAAAAAATCATTAAATAGTATTGAAAGAAATATATATGAAAATATACTACACAGATTAACTACAATTATTCATCAAATGGGATAATGATTATTTTAACTGTAGCCCTTTCAGAGAACAGGAAAATCTTTTGGCTGTGGTAGAGCTCTGCACTTAAAGGAAAGCACTGTACAAAAATGGTTAATAACAACTGGCCACTCCTGAACTCTCTGTGATACTAAACATTCTATGAAACCCGTCTAAGTTCATTCTCTCAACAATCTTTTAGGTGGTCATTATTCCCATGCTACTGGGGCAAGAAACGGAAACAGGCAAGTTATACTAGCTAGTGAACTGCAGAGCCTGAACTCGAACCCATGCACACTTTGGTAGCTGAGTGATTACCTTTTACTTCCACCACCACAGGCTGAGCAAAGGTCAGGAGTGAGAGCAACTTAGAGACGGAAATCAATGGGGTCAAGGGTCAGCAGGAAGTGGCTTCAAGAGTTTGGATCAGAGGTCACTATACGTCACTGGTTGAGGGAACGTTACTAAAGATAGTTCGACCTAGCCTTCTCAATCGCATCTCAGCTGGTGAAACCATAAAGTGATTAGGACATCTGAAAAAAACAAAACCCAAATTAATAAAATTCAGCGGAGATTTCTCGGGGACAGCCATGATATCAGAGAAAAGAAGAGCGCGCGCGCGCGGCATCCGGGTTCCTAAATGCATGCCTAATGCCGACGTGGCAGAAGGAGTGGTTCAGCCCTGGAGCGTGGGGGAGGGACTTCCGGGGGCGAAAACGACGCCCCCCCTCGGAACCGGAAGTGGAGCCTGGGATCCCTGACGTTAGGAACGAAGTCGAACCTGGATCTGGAGCCGGGTGAGGAGTGGCATCTGGAGGTTCGGTGGTGGGTAGGAATGCAGAGGAGAAACCGGGGTATTACTGGCCAGATTGGGGTCCCGTTTTAGAAGGAAGGGAGGAGCCTGGGGACGGGGCCTAAGAAGAGACCTTTACCTCACGCATCCAAGACCCAGGATCGGTCCTAGACCCTGCCTTAGCTTCCCGGCCCAGAATCTCGCTCCAGCTTGCTGCTCCCAGCTTGTCGAAGGGTGCTGGATGCTCGGACTCTAATGCTTAATGGACAAGACTTCTCATTGTGGCTTGAGAAGCTGCCTTGGCTTCACAATCTTGATCCTTGGCGCCCCCAGCCTCCACAGTTCGACTACTTTCAGAGTTCTAGGAAGCTTGCCCCGCCCCCTTGGGTTGTCACCCTCCACTGTCCACCTTGTATGGAGTCGAGACTGGAGGTTGACTTCAAGTTTCTGAGTGTGTTTGAGGAGATTGTTTTCTGGAGAACAAGCTTCATTCCTCCCGACTTCCTCCTGATTTTAGGAAGATAAAAGGAGGGGGACACCTCTCAAGTTTAGTGTCAGTGACCTGTGCAAGGTTTCAGATTTGGAAGACCAGCTCCCCAAATGGCTTTGAATTTAGAATTCTAGTTCAGGAGCAGCTCAACTTTTCTGTAGTCAAGATGGCCTTCTCTAGCAAAGGGGAGAGGCCTATTGTTCCACTGAGATACCTGTGAGGTCCCCTGCCTCCTGGGCCCCTTCTGCCTATAATTAGAAAGATAAGGCTGTTCAGAGTAGATATGATCAAATAGTCCTTTTCTTGGAAGGATACTTGAAAGACCCTTTAATTCATTCCTCTGCTGGGCAAGATTGTAGTAATTTTGATAGTGGCTTATATTCATAACAAGCACATAAGGAGAGCAGAAACAGGAGAGTTGGAGAAGTGCATTGGGATTTATGATACTTATAGTCCTCTGGTTGATATTTTTTGAAATCTTACATTGCCACCAATCCTTGAACTGTTTCTTTTGATTATGTGAAGATGTTCTTGTGCCTGAATGAACTCAGTTCTAATCTGTTACTTGCTAAAGAGTTTTCAGGTGTTCTTTACATTTGGTGATTTTAATACTTTAGTTCCAATGTCCATGTGCTGTTTTAGTGGAAAATCTGGGGTTAGAGTAGCATTTGGATTATTGCAGATTAGCCAAAGAATGTCATTTCTCTTAAATCAGTTACTCTAAAAGTTTGTCTTTTGAGGGGGAGGGATTTTAGATGGTATGTTTTACTGTAAGCCCCAGGGTTAGATTAAAAATGACTAGCACATTTGCCTCCCATGCTCAAGGCCCTGGTTTCAATCCCCAACACCCCCCCCCCACACACACACACACACTAGCATATTAGAGGGTGTCAGTATTTGTTGAATGAATTGATGAGGTGATGCTGGAAAGATGAATGGAAAATGGAAACATTGTTTCATTTACCTGTAACATTATGGTAGTTCATCAGCTAAAGGACTCCTTGTATGACTAGACACTAGAAATCATCCACTGGGGAATGGAGGCTGCTGCTCCATTCTGATGGGTCTGCCTGAACTTGAAATGTATATCTTTTTGGCATTGAGGAAGCATGGGGTTCAAAGTAACAATCCTTGCTTTGAGGAGAAGCTGGGTGTTGGCTAGGAAGAAAATGACAGATCCTGTGTTAGTGTGGGAATGATTAAGCTGATCTCTGCCAGATAGGTCAATCTCTTTTTATCTCTGCTTCCTACCCTGAATAGTTGCTCTTTCTTTCAGGAGTTTGTTTTGACTAATTTATCTTTTGTCTCTCAAATAGGTGAGTCCAAGTCGGGGATGCTTTCATAATGAATGTGAACCAGTCAGCTGCACCTGTGCCGCCATTTGGGCAGCCCCAGCCCATCTATCCAGGGTATCATCAGTCTAATTATGGTGGGCAACCAGGGACCACAGCGCCCCCCACTTCCTATGGAGCCTATAATGGCCCGGTGCCAGGCTATCAGCAAACTCTTCCCCAAGGTATGTTTCCAAGTTTCTTTGAGCTAAGGAGGGGAATCAGCAGCTTCAGGTTGGATTGTATTGCTCTACAAAGCTGCCTAAGGAGTTTGGGTGATGGGACTGAGGAACATGAAACTGGCTTCCTGAAACTGAAAGCAGTCTATCTTCCCTGTTTTTAGATGGATGACTTTTCACCTTCAGACATCTAGTGGGAGTACATCTTCCAGGTTCAATGGTAGCTCACTTCCTTTATGGCCTCCTTTGGTTGCATTGTTAAGAGCTAAATGGAGCTGTGTTCAGTAGCACAATGCCTGTAATCCCAACAACTCAGGAGGATGAAACAGGAGGATCATCAATTTGAGGCCAGCCTGGGCAACTTAGTAAGACTGTCCCAAAAGGAAATAAAAAGGACAAAGGATATAGCTCAGTGGTAGAGTGCTTGATAGCATGTGTGAGGCTCTGAGTTCAATCCCCGGTACCAAAAAAAAGCTAATGGTCATAGATCTTCCAGATCATGTTGACTTAAAACTCCCTAAAATCACTACTTCCTCATATTCATCTATATATAGAGAGAGAGCAAGAGGGCAAATGTCTTTTGTTGGTCTGATGATTCTGTTTATAAATGACTCTGGCTCAAGTCTGTGTATAAATGATTCTAGGATGAAAAGTGTAGTATTTTTGCGCCTAATTTTTGGTGCAGGAACTATCTTTCTTCTAATGCCATTCCTTTTTCTTGGCTTGAGTTTCCTCCATTTCTTAGATATTCTCTAACATTAGGAAAATAAGACAAATTTGGTCCTGCATTAGATTCAGTGTTTGTTTTGAAGTGCTGTGGATCAAACCCAGGACCTTGAGTATACTAAGCACATGCTGTACCACTGAGATATGTCCCCAACCCCCAAAACTTGATTTTTATATTACTTTTACTTTTTAAATTTAAATTTTATTTTATATTACTTTTTCAAGAATAGTATGTACTTTACAGATTATCCAGAGGGCCCTTTGGAAGGTAGATCTTTGATTGGGCTAACTGAGGACTTAAGATATGCCAAAATATTTGTTTGTTTACTTTTTGTAACCAGGGATTTGGTACCCAGGGATGCTTAACCACTGAGCCATCTCCCCATCCTTTTCTTCCCCTCCACTTTTTGGGTAGGGTGCTGAGGATTGAACTCAGGGGCATTCAACCACAGAGCCAGCCCTATTTTTTGTATTTTATTTAGATACAGGGTCTCACTGAGTTTCTCCAGCCTCCTTTTTAAATTTTATTTTGGGACAGGTTCTTGCTAAGTGCTTAGGGTCTCATACTAAGTTGCTGAGGCTGGCCATGAACTTATGATCCTCCTGCCTCAGCCTACTGAGTTCCTGGGATTACAGGTGTGTACCATCATGGCTGGCCCTATTTATTCTTTTTGAGGAAGTAAATTCCATGAAGGTATATGGAAAAACAACAAGGCATCAAGGAGGCATAGGTAAGATTTGGAAAATAAATGAGGTATTACCATTTTAATCATACTGTGAAAAATAATCTAAAGTAGTAAAATTAGATGTCAATTTTTTCTCGGGGGGCAGTACTAGGAATTGATCCCAGGGGTGCTTTACTACTGAGCTATATGTCCAGCCCTTTTTAAAATTTGTTATTTTGAGACAGGGTCTTACTAAAGTTGCCCAGGTTGATCTCCAACTTCTGATTCTTTTACATCAGGCTCCTGAGTTGCTGAGGGTATAGGTGTGCACCACCACACACAGCTATGTCCCAGTTATTTAGAAGAACCTTATTCTTGGTTTGGACTTTGACTGGAAAGAATCTCCCTTTGCTCTTGACTTATCAACATGATGTTTGGCTTTCTTTCAAGAGATAGCTTTGTTATTGAGAGGAAAATTTAACTAGTTCTGTTCTGGTTAGTGAGCAAGTTCCATTAATCAGTTAAACCTATAGGCTGGTTCTATAATGTCTAATCTTTACCCAGGGCAAAGCCAAAGGAGAAATAAATTGTTTGACCAGGGGTCAGCAACTTTTCAGAAGTGGTTTGCAAAGTAACTGATCCCTGTTTCTGCATTTCATATTGGAAGGATGGCTAAGGGTAGTAGAAGTAGTTTTGATAGCAGCTCTGATGAAAGGATGGAGTTCAGCTTTTGTGAGGACATAGGTGGCAGCACTAATGGGAGGAGAGGCCAACTCTCCTGACTAAACCCTTGGGCAGGAGCAAGGTCTCTGACCTGTGAAAACAGTCCTGAACCTTGTGCTGTTGGAAGCTTCTACACTAAGAAGTGGATGAAAAGGATATACTTAGGAAAAGTACAACGTATGAAGAAGAGGGTGATAGAATAGTCTCCCTAAAAGGTGCCTTCCTTGGAGCAAGGATATACATCAGACATCAGTGGTAGAACATTTGCGTAGTATGGATTAGGGCCCTGGGTTCCATCTCCAGCACTGAAAAAAAAAAAAAAAGGAAAAACAAAAAGGTTCCTTTTAAATTTTTTTTTTTTTTAGTTTGCTCTACTTAGTTGTACATGAATGCATTTCAATTCATTGTACACAAAAAAAGATGCTTTTCTTTACAGCCTAATTAAGTATATTATTTGGTTATCTTCTGTACCACCTTTTTGATATATGCTCTAACTTTCGAGTTCTAGAGTAAGATCTTTTTCAAAAACTTTTTGTCTAGGGTAAGAACATTAGGCTGGGTGCCGTGGTACCTGCCTGTATTCCCAGCAACTCTGGAGGCTAAGCAGGAGCATTGTAAGTTCAAAGCAAGCCTCAGCAACTTAGTGAGGCCCTAAGCAACTTATTGAGACCCTGTCTCAAAATAAAAAATAAAAACAGCTGGGGATGTGGTTTAATGGTTAAGTGCTCCTGGGTTTAATCCCTAGTACCAAAAAAGAACATTATGCTGTCTTGGGTTTAGTGGGTAAGTGTAGTGATCATAGGAAGGCCCTACATTTTTTTGGCTCTGGCTGCAGCTTCACCCTAGTTTATCTGTCTGGCAGAGTACAAGCTTTCTATTGGGCATCCACGTTCAGAATACTACTATAGCTGGAGTTTCATGTTTTTGGTTTGTTTGGTGGTACTGGGGATTCAACTGGGGATTCAACCTAGGGTTGCTCTACCACTGAGCTAGGTCCCTAGTCCTTCTTATTTTTTGTTTTGAAACAATGTTGCTAAGTTATGGAGGCTGGCCTCAAACTTGCAAACCTCCTGCCTCAGCCTCTTGAATATCTGGGATTATAGGTGTGTGCCATGAGACTGGTTTGGAGTTGCATATTGATGGTGTCCTTTTCACTGTGCATTTGTGGTATTAGATCAGTGAAGGTCTGAGATTATTGATTCTTACTTTGCATTCCTAGCTCAGGGAGGGGGAGAAAGTTATTTATTTCCCAATCACTTATTTTCTGTCCTTTACCCTCAGGTGTGTCAAGAGCCCCACCCTCCTCAGGGGCACCTCCAGTCTCTACAGCACAGGCCCCATGTGGCCAGACTGCATATGGCCAGTTTGGCCAAGGTGATGTACAGAATGGTCCAAGCTCCACTGTTCAGATGCAAAGGTATGTATATGGGTTAACATAAAATTGGTTTGATGAAAGTGGACAGGTTAGGAATATATGAGGATCTATTTCTTTCCTTTTTTCTTTTGCCTTTCTCATAGATCCCTTTTTACCTTTCTCATATATCTCTTTATTTCTTCCCTCTACCCTGTTGTATTTTGTTATTTCAGATCACAGGTGTTGTTGATGTCCAACCCTGTGTATTATTGAATAATTGTTCTTTTGCACATTTTTCTTTTTCTGTGAACATAAGTCTCCTCCCCATCCCCACTGGTGATTGGAACAGGGCACTCTACTACTGAACTACATCCCTATCCCCCCCTTTTTTTTAATAGTAATTTTTTTTTTTTTTTGGTAATTATAGATGTCTTTATTTTTTTATGTGGTGCTAAGGATCGAACCCAGTGCCTCACACGTGCTAGGCAAGTGCTGAGCCACAGCCCTAACCCCACCATCTCTTTTTGTTTTTTACTTTGAGACAGGCTCTCACTAAGTTGCTTAGGGCACCACTAAGTTGCTGAGGCTAACCTGGAATTTGTGATCCTCCTGCCTCAGCTTCCCAAGTTTTGGGGATTATAGGCATGTGCCACTGTGCCCAACTCAGAATATCCATTTTTAGCATTGAACATAAACATGGATAAGGCAAACAAATGGGATACATAGATGATAACAGGTGACAAATATACTTAAAGATATAAAATAGGGGGAGGTGGGGATATAGAGGGTGACTGATGAGGAGATGGGAACTTTTATTTTTTTTTTTGTACTGGGGATTGAACCCAGGGGTGCTTAACCACTAAGCCAGATCCCCAGCCCTTTTAAAAACTTTTTAAATTTTGAGACAGGGTCTTGCTAAGTTGCTTAGGACCTTACTAAATTGCTGAGGCTGCCTTTGAACTTGTGATTCTCCTGCCTCAGCCTTCCAAGCTGCTGGAATTATAGGCATGTAACACCAGGCTGGGCTGGTAATTGTTTTAAATATGCTGGTCAAACTGGGTGTGATGGCTCATGCCTGTAATCTCAGTGATTCAGGAGGCTGAGGCAGGAGTATCACAAGTTTGAGGCTAGCTTCAGCAATTTAGTGAGGCTCTAAGCAATTTAGCAAGGCCGTGTTTAAAAATAAAAATTTTAAAAAAGGGCTGGGGATGTAGCTCAGTGGTAAAGCACCTCTGGGATCAATCCCCAGTTTAAAAAAAAAAATTCTGATCAAAAGAAAGATTCTCTGAACTAATTTGAGATTTCAGTGAAGTGATGAAATTCTGGGGGAAGAGTTTCTTAGAGGAAAAACCAAGTGCAAAGGCTTTGAGGTAGAAGTTAATATGGTGGACATGTTGAAGAGCAAGAAATATCAATGTGTGGTAGAGCCCTTGTCTAGCCTGCTCAATGCCCTGGCTTTGAACCCCAGCACTACAAAAACTAAACAACAAAACAAAATATAATGAGAGGGGAGCTGGGGATGTAGCTCAGTGGTAGAGCACTTGTCTAGCATGGTCAAGGCCTGGGTTCGATTCTCAGTACTGCCAAAAAAAAAAAAAAAGGAGAAAGAATAGTAGTGAGGTAGGAGATAAGCCAGGAGAGTGTGGTATCCTGAAACCAATTAGAGAGAATATTTCCAGAAGGCATTAGAAGAATTAGCTTTGTCGATTACTGCTGAAAGATAAGATGAGAGCTGAGAATTGAATGTTGTGATTTGGCAAGGTTAGTATCATTGGTAAGTGTGGTTTCAGCAAAGAGCTGAAGAAAACTGCCTAGTTGAAGGGGGTCAAAAAGTTTCAACTAGCAGTAGATTACTATAACCTGAAAACCCCCTTTTTTTTTTTAAATTTTAATATTTATTTTTTTTAATATTTGGCGGACACAACATCTTTGTCTGTATGTGGTGCTGAGGATCGAACCCGGGCCGCACGCATGCCAGGCGAGCGCACTACTGCTTGAGCCACATCCCCAGTCCCCTGAAAACCCTTTTACTAGTCATCTTAGAAAGGAGAAAAATTAGAAACAAAAAAATTTTATTTTGAGGGGTGCGGAGGTGTATACCTGTAATCCCAGGGTTTCCAAAGGCTGAGGCAGGATTCCAAATTTGAGGCCAGCCTGGAGAACTTGACAAGACCATGTCTCAAAATCAAACCAAACAACAACAAGCAGGGCGGGGGGTGGGGTGGGGGAAGAGGCGCAAAAGAAAAAGTGTTGGGGGGAGAGACACACACACACACACACACACACACACACACAAAAGAAAAGAAAAAGGGTTGGGGATATAGCATAGAGTAGTTGTAGAGAACTCCTGAGTTCAATCCTCAGTTCTGAAAAACAATTTTTTCAAGTTCATAGATCGGTTTTTAGAAAGTGAAATACTCAAGTTCCAGAAACCAAGTGAAGACTGAATATCAAAGTAACTTGAGTAAAAAATATGATTTTGAAAATCCAGAGATTTAAATTTAAGCAGGTGCTGGGGATGAGAGAAGAGTTCTAGGACTTTCCTGAAAGTCCTAGAATTGATACCTTGGAATTGATACCTTGCTTAGGTAGTTTGTGTTTGGACTGTACCTTCCAAGAACGGTTAGACTAGGAAAAAAGTTTGTACACTGGCAGAAGATAATAGGAAGCCCTGTTTTTCTTAAGTTGGTATTTGATGAGTAGGGGAAGAAAAGTCTTGGGACTGCAATTGGACATGAAGGAACATTTGGGGATAATAAAAATATTCTAAAATTGGATTCTGTTGGGTCATTGTGTAACTACAAATTTACTAAAAATCATTAAATTGAACATTTAAAGGTATGGAAATTATGCCCTAGTAGTTTGTTTAAAATTTTGATCTTGGGGCTGGGGATGTGGCTCAAGCGGTAGCGCGCTCGCCTGGCATGCGTGTGGCCCGGGTTCGATCCTCAGCACCACATACAAACAAAGATGTTGTGTCCGCTGAAAACTAAAAAATAAATATTAAAAAAAAATTCTCTCTCTCTCTCTCTCTCTCTCTCTCTCTCTCTCTCTCTCTGTGTCTCTCACTCTCTCTTAAAAAAAATAATTAAAATTTTGATCTTGGGTAGTAATATTGATGAAGTACCTTCCAGAAGCTAAAGCAAAGCAACCATACTTCCTCAACCCAGGCCATAAGGACTTCTCAGAGGAGGAAAAGCAATTGATTAGAGTTAGTAGAAAGTAATAGGGGACAGCAGATAGAATAATACTTTGTAAACATTAAGGGAAAATAGTTGTCAACTTTGAATTACATATCTCATTAAGAGAAGGCAGGTAAAGATATTTTCAGACTGAGTTGACAATGTCATAGACTTGGTTGAAAAACTATTAGGAGCCGTGTGGGGTGGTGTCCATCTGTGATCCCAGCGACTGGGGAGGCTGAGGCTGGGGGATTGCAAGTTTGAGGACAGCCTCAGAAACTTGGTGAGACCCTATCTCAAAATAAAAATAAAATGGGGTTGGGGATGGGATGTGGCTCAGAAGTTAAATGCACCTGGGTTCCATTCCCAGTACCAAAAAAAAAAAAAAAAAAAAAAATCAATCAATCAACTACTAGAGGAGAGACTTAGAATAAAAAGAAAAATAAACCTAGAAAGAAGGCTCTTTAAAGAGAAAAAAGAAGTTGAAGAAATACAGATGGAGCATAGATGAATTCTTTTGTAATGCTTAGCTAAAAGGGGAGCAAAACTTTAAGGGGGATGTGATATTATTTGGTTGGATTTTTTGAATAGTTTTATTGACATATAATTCACATATCATGCAGTTCACCTATTTGAAGTGTAAAAGTTCAATGAGGTCTTTTTAAAAAAATATTTATTTATTTATTTTTTTAGTTTTAGATGGGCACAACATCTTTATTTTATTTTTATGTGGTGCTGAGGATTGAACCCAGCGCCTCACGCACGCCAGGTGAGCGTGCTACCACTTGAGCCACAACCCGAGCCCCATCAATGAGTTTTAATATATTGCAATTAATTTTCATTACAGTTAGTTTTAGGACATTTCTACCATCTCAAGAATAAACATCATAGCTGGGCATGGTGGCACATACCTGTAATCCCAGCAGCTTGTGAGGCTGAGGCAGGAGGATCGAAAGTTCAAAGCCAACCTCAGCAAAAATGAGGCACTAAGCAACTCAGTGAGACCCTGTCTCTAAATAAAATACAAAATAGGGCTGGGGATGTGGCTCAGTGGTTGAGTGCCCCTGAGTTCAATCCCCATACCCTCCTTCCCTGCAAAAAAAGAAGAAACATCATATTATTTTTTAAAAAACATTTTTTTTTTTAGTTGTAGGTGGACACAATACCTGTATTATTTATTTATTTTTATGTGGTGCTGAGGATTGAACCTAGTGCCTTCCTTGCACATGCTAGGCGAGCGTTCGTCCTCTGAGCCACAACCCCACCCCCGAAACTTCATATTCTTTAGGTATCTGGCTACTCCTATTTATTCCTCCATTCTCCCATGCCTCCAGTCCTAAGCAGCTGATGTTTTACTTTCTATCTCCATAGATTCCGGATTCTGGATTTAATAGGAATAAAATTATATATGACGTGATTTTTCTTTTTTTTTTTCTTTTTTTGGGTATCGGGGATTGAACTCAGGCACTCGACCACTGAGCCACGTCCCCAGCCCTATTTTGTGTTTTATTTAGAGACAGGGTCTCACTGAGTTGCTTAGTGCCTCGCTTTTACTGAGGCTGGCTTTGAACTCATGATCCTTCTGCTTCAGCCTCACAAACCACTGGGATTACAGGCTGTGCCACTCTGCCTGGCTCTGTGACTTGATTCACTTAGTATAGTGTTTTTCTTCTTTGTGGTACTGGGGATTTAACTCTGGGGTGCTTTACCACTGAATTACACCACCAGTCCTTTTTTATTTTTTATTTTGAGACAGGTCTCACTTTCAGGGCCCCACTACATTGCTAAATTGCTGGGATTACGGATGTGCCCCAGCTTGTTTTCTTTGAGCAGGGTCTGGCTAAGATTGAACTTGTGACCTTGTACATGCCAGGCAGGCACACTACCATTGAGCTATACCTCTAGCAGAGTTGGTTTTTTTTCTGAGATGTTGGTATGTTTGTAATGATGAGAATAATCAGAGAGGGAGAGGTTGAGGGAAAAGTGCATTGGAAAGGCAAGTGAGGAAATGAAAAAGACATTTACATATAATATACACATAGCTTGGGGGCTAGGGGGATAGCTCAGTTGGTAGAGTGCTTGCCTCACATGCACAAGGCTCTGGGTTCAATCCCCAGCACCACACACACACACACACAAAAAGAATATATACACACACACAAACACACACACGAGCACACACAGCTTGGGCTGTACTTCGGAGGCAGGGTGGTTGCCTAACATGCGGAGGCCCTAGGTTCTATCTCTACCGCTGCCCTCCCTCAACCCAAAAAGTATCTACAATATATAAAGAACTCCTACTAATCAGAAAGAAAAAGATAATCCAGTTGAAAAAAAGTAAAGGATGCTGGGGCACAGTGGCACATGACTAATCCCAGGGATTCTGAAGGCTAAGGCAGAAGGATTACAAATCCAAGGCCAACCTGGGCAATTTAGTAATACCCTGTTTCAAAATTAAAAGATAAATGAAATTATAGCTCAGTGCACTTGCCTAGCATGATGAAGGCCCTGGATTTAATGCCCACTACCACAAAAAAAAAAAAAAAGAAAGAAAAGAAAATCCCTAATATCTATCTATATTAAAATGCTTAAAGCCAGGCATGGTAGCACAAGCCTGAAATCCCAGTGGCTCGGGAGGTGGAGGCAGGAGGATTGTGAGTTCAAAGCTAGCCTCAGCAATTTAGCGAGGTGCTAAGCAACTCAGTGAGACCCTATCTCTAATAAAATACAAAATAGAGCTGGGGATGTGGCTCAGTGGTTGAGTGCCCCTGAGTTCCAATCCTTCTACCCGCCCCCAAAATTGCTTAAGGGCTGGGGTTGTTGCTCAGTGGTAAAGCATTTGCCTCACATTTATGAGGTCCTGGGTTCAATTCTCAGCACCACATAAAATAAATAAATAAATGAAAATAAAGATTTAAAAAGACAAATACTTAAGCAGCCAGGCGTCTGCCTGTAATCCCAACAGCTTGTTGGGGCTGAGGCAGGAGGATAGTGAGTTCAAAGCCAGCCTCAGCAAAAGTGAGTCACTAAGCAATTCAGTGAGATCCTGTCTCTAAATAAAATATGAAATAAGACTAGGTATGTGGCTCAGTGATTGAGCACCCCTGGGTTCAATCCCCGGTACCAGAAAAAAAAAATGCTTAAGCAAATTGTGGCATATTTATTTAGAGGAATAATATTTAGTCATGAAAGGGAATGAATTATAGCTAAAGGGAACATCATAGATCATTTTCATAAATGTGGTTGAATAAAAGACAGAAAAACCAAAGAATATGTGTTTAATTATTCCGTTCATAAAAGCTTAAAAAAAAAAAAAAAAACCTGATAAAGCACAACTGTACTATTGAGGAATGTACTAAAGACCAGAGGATGATTTTTTACAAAGTGATGAAAGTAGTTTCTCCTGGGAGAAGGGCAAGGGTTTATGGAATAGATGCATGTAGGGCTTTTGGATGCTGATACATTCTATTTTTTGACTTGGTTTTTGGTTATATGAGTGGTCATATTATAATTACTCAACTGTACTGGTATGTATTTTGTACTTTTTTTTCTATTTATAGTATATCTCACAATTAAGTTGGGAATCAGGTCTAGTGCTTAGTTCTAGTTTGGCCTGCTTACTTTTACTGTTTTAATTACCTATACACTCTGTATTTCTCATTGTTTTGCCATAATACTATATTAAAGAACCCAGAAGCCAGGCGCGGTGGCACATGCCTGTATTCTCAGTGGCTCGGGAGGCTGAGGCAGGAAGATTGCAAGCTCAAGGCCAGCCTCAGCAAAAGTGAGGTGCTAAGCAACTCAGTAAGACCCTGTCTCTAAATAAAATATAAAAAAGGGCTGGGGATGTGGCCCAGTGGTTGAGTGCCCCTGAGTTCAATCCCTGGTAACCACCCCTGCACCACCACTGGCAAATAGAAGAACCTTGAGATGCTTTATAAATCATAAAGGTATGATTTTGTATTTATTTATTTAGGTACTAGGGATTGAAACTGGGCATGCTTTACCACTGAACTAACCCCAATTCTTTTTACTTTTTATTTTGAGGTAGGGTCAAAATTGGCCTTGAACTTGTGATCTCCTGCCTCACTTTACTGAGTTGCTGAGATTAGAGGCATGGATGATCACACTCATCTATGGTTTGTTTTGTTTTGTTTTGGTGGTGCTGGGGATTGAACCCAGGGCCTTGTGCATTGTGCATGTGAGGCAAGCACTCTACCAGCTGAGCTATATACCCAGCCCTGATTTTTTTTTTTTTAAATATTTTTTAGTTGTAGACAGACACAATACCTTTATTATTTATTTATTTATTTATTTTTTGTAGGATACAATACCTTTACTTTATTTATTTATGTGGTGCTGAGGATCAAATCTAGTGTCCCCTGAATGCAAGGCAAGTGCTCTACCACTGAGCACAACCCCAGCCCCATCTATGATTTAAAAAATAAAACAAATGTGCTGTCTGGTATCATGCAAGTAGCCAACAAGATGTTGCTTGTTAGACCCAGTCGGAAAACTACTCAGTTTATGTCTTTTCTCTAGTCCCTTCCTGGGACAGTTCTCAATTATTCTCTCAGTTAGTACAGAATGCCAAACTCAGCTGATCTGCTGCTCTGATCTTATGCTTTTTTTTTTTTTTTGGTAATGAGGATTGAACCCAGGGTTTTTTTTCCCAAAAACGCATCTCCATTTTTTTTTTTTTAAAGAGTAAAAGAGTAAGATTTATTTAAGTGAGAAGAAAAGAGACAAAGCTCCTGGATGGCAAGAGGGGGCCCAATAGGGGTTGCTCCAGTCCTTTTTATTTTTTATTTTGAGACAGGGTCTTGCTAAGTTGCTGAGGGTCTCCTAACTTGCTGAGGCTGGCCTCAAACTTGCAATCCTCCTGCCTCAGCCTCCTGAGTTGCTATAATTACAGGTGTGTACCACAATACCAAATTGATCTAAAGAATATGTACTAGTTTAAAAGTTGAAAAATAAATTGTATTTGTTTGATTTCACATTTGTTAAGAACTCATATGCATGTGCCTTTCCTTTTAACCTCTTCAGGGTTCAGATTACAAAACTGAGATGGTTTGTTAACAAAGGATTGAGGCAGAGGAGGTGATAATTTAACTAGCAGATTAAATAGTATTTGACCAAAGGGTGCTTAACATGTTTTTGGAATGAACCTAGATAAAATAAGATTTGTCACAAATAATCACAATGTAGATAATCAGGAATGTAATTTACTCACAGATATACAAGTATGCCATACAAGAACTCAGGATTAGTGATGCCAGAAAACAGTATAGCTTCCCGAATGGTATGTAGCTCCGCCTAGCTTTAAAGGATAGCACAGCCCACTAGTCACCTCTGTTTTCCTTCTTTTTACAGGCTCCCTGGGTCTCAGCCATTTGGTTCCCCATTGGCCCCTGTGGTCAGCCAGCCAGCTGTGCTTCAGCCCTACGGCCCTCCTCCAACAAGTGCACAGGTGACTGCTCAGCTGGCTGGAATGCAGATCAGTGGTGCTATGGCTCCAGCCCCTCCCCCTTCGGGGCTGGGCTATGGTAAGTAGCAGTGACCATTGGAGCATTGCTGTCTCCTTTTTAGAGGTATTAGTTTCTGGGAGTATACCTGAATCCTTTTTATTTTCTGTACCTCTGAGCCCCAAAAGATGGGACAGTCATACTTGTGCTTCTTTTATGGAAAGGGAAGTGATTTACTGAGCAAGGACACAGAAACACTGGCCTCTGACTCAACCTCTTCTTTTTCTCAGGCCCACCAACGTCACCGGCCTCAGCCTCAGGAAGTTTCCCTAACTCTGGTCCATATGGCTCCTATCCTCAGGGCCAGGCTCCTCCCCTTAGCCAGGCCCAAGGTCATCCAGGGGTCCAGCCTCCCCAACGATCTGCTCCACCACTGGCCTCCAGCTTCACGCCCCCAGCTTCAGGGGTTCCTCGGATGCCTTCTATGACCAGTCCACTCCTGCCTGGACAGGGTTTTGGGGGGCCCCCAGTGAGCCAGCCCAACCATGTATCCTCACCTCCTCCTCAAGCTCTGCCCCCAGGCCCCCAGGTGACTGGGCCCCCAGGACCCCCACCACCTATGCACTCCTCTCAACAGCCAGGCTATCAGCTGCAACAAAATGGTGAGTTTTTCCCAAGGTCTATCAAAGAAGCCAAAGGCCTCAGCTTTTCAGGTGTTTTTTAGTATTTGTTTTTAAGTGGTGAACTAGATGGATTACTTCAGGGTATCATTACTAGGATGTGAGGTTTATAAGACATTAGTGTTTCTTTTAGTTCAGATAGTGTCATCTTTCTGTGAATGGCTTCCCCAGGGATTAGTGTTTCTTATAATTCTATGTTTATAGAGTCTAGTCTTTTCCCCTGAGTCCTTAAGAAGATATAAGAAGGGGATTTTTATTTTTTTGTTATTGGGAATTGATCTAAACCCAGGGGGCACTTTACCACTGAACTATGTCCCCAACCCTTTTTATTTTTTATTTTGAGGTAGGGTATTGCTAAATTGCTTAAGGCCTCCATAAGTTGGCTGTGGTTGGCCTTCAACTTGTGAACCTCCTGCCTCAGCCTTCCAAGTCTCTGGAATTATAGGCATGCACCACTGCACCCAGCAGGGAGGAAATTTTTGAGTTCATTACCCCGTGCCCTTGTATTTCAGGTTCCTTTGGACCAACCCGGGGCCCTCAGCCCAATTATGGAAGTCCTTACCCTGGAGCACCCACCTTTGGCAGTCAACCTGGGCCTCCTCAACCACTGCCTCCTAAGCGCCTGGACCCTGATGCCATCCCTAGCCCTGTAAGTAGATGCTCATATGGTCCTGTGAAATGGGTTTGTGTCTGCAGATAAGCAGGTTGACCTAGATGACCTTTTGCTTAGCATTTTTTCTTAATTTTTCCATTTCATTCATCTTCTTAATAGGCCTAGAACCTAGATATGATTTTTGATTCTTTGAACTAGAACCTGTAGTTCCAGAAATCTTTTTTTTTTTTAATGGTACTAGAGATTGAACCCAGGGGTGCTACATTTCCAGCCCTTTTTTATTTTGTGACAGGGACTCGATAAGTTGCTGAGACTGGCCTTGAACTTGTGATCCTCTTGCCTCAGCTCCCAAGTTGCTGGGATTACAGGCATATGCCACTGTGCTTTCTAAGTTCCAGAGATCTTTGAGAGCAGTTTTATTCCATAGCTGCATGGAGAAGGAAGGGAAGCCAAAGTGGAGCTCTGGGTTGAGGGATGAGTTCTGTTACTGTTGGGCATACATGGTCATCTTTGCTCTTCTGTGGAGTAGTAGCTGGGTCTTGTCCATATACCTAGTAGGACAGCATTCTTCCTAATGGTTAGAGCAGGTGAGGATTATCTGATATTAGGCGTTCAGAGCAGGAAAGCTGCACTGGTTCCTCTCTGCTCCTACTTGGACAGTGTTGTATGAGGAAGCCCACAGTACTTATGGTTGATAGGCCTATGCTGTATGTATGGGGAAAAGTGATCTATATTGTAGAAGGACAGTGTGTGTATAAAGTCTCAATGGGGAAGCTGCTTCTCCCAGGAAGAGGGTGAATCTCACCCTTAGAACCATCAGCAGAATCCTCAGGCTTTCCTTATCAGATTCAGGATAGAGGCTGGGGCTATATTCCCAAATAGGGTCCACTTTATAGTCCTGTCTGTAACATTGCTATGTCAGTTACCTCACCATGCTTAGCCATTGTCATATTCCATTCTGTTCTCTTTCCTCTTCCTTTGGGGAATCACTATGGCTAAGGGTGACCTGGAAGGATGGAGTAGCTCTCCTATCTTTCCCCCCCTTCACAGTCAGAAAGAGTGTGATTGGATGTGAGGGAGGCTTTTTTCAGAATAAGAAGAGTCCTTAAATAGAAGGTTTGGCCTTTTAGAGGGAGTATTCCTCATCTTCCTTAAGGTTTCTCCCATTTAGTCCCTCCTTGTAAACCCTGCTTGCTTCCTATTTGCATCCTTATCTTCTATATCATAGTTTGAACTACTGCAGCCTCTTTATTGGGCTGGAGAGACTCAGAATTTCAAATCTAGAGGGGGCCTGATTTCAGCAGTCTGATTTGGGCTCCAGTTGTTCACATCTAACTCATCAGGGTTGAGAGAAGTAATATCTGCCTCTTGTTCTTTTGTCTCCCTGTATTCCCCTGCTGCCTTTATTATTAAAACACTAAAAGCAACTCAATGAGCTGCCTCCTCAGCAGAAAACCAGGCACAGAATAGACCCTGATGCCATTCCTAGTCCAGTAAGTGCAGGGGGTGTGTGTGTGTGTGTGTGTCATCCCTGTGTTAGTGCCATCCATGCATGCCTGTGACCTCATCTTCACCTCATTCACCATATCCATCCCTGTTCATACTTTTTCCTTTGCCCTTCTAAATTCTTACTTTTATAAGCTGAAGGATATGCATGCCTCGAGTCACCACATAAGGAAGAGGTAGCAAGCTGTTAGCAGTACCTTGAGTTTGGGATGGTAGAAGGTCAGGCTGTAAGGGTGGAGCCAGATGGAATGTTAAGCTTGGGTTTTAGTCCTGCTTCTGGCTCTTCCAGGAGCCTGTGTGTGACACGTGATGGAACAGGACAAAGTTAAGCGGTATAATCTTCCATTTTGGGTTTAATTGGTCTGCAGCCTGTTGTGGAGAAACATTTGGGTAGGTGGTTATAATATATAGGTTCATCAAATCCCAAACTGGTATTTCTTAGAGGGGAAGGGATTGTTTGTTTGGAATGTGTGGGCCACTTTCTTATCTGGCAAGCCTTTGAATTTGCTATATTTCTAAGCTTCACCCTTTTTGCTGTGGGATAGTTTTATTTGCCCTTTATGTTTTCTGGCTATATCAAACTCATCTTGAAGTAACTTATCAAAGGTCACCAACCTACACAAGGGTCTGGTTACCAGCTTTGCATATGCATATTTTTCCCCCTTCACTGTGTTTGTCAAAATATGGGGGTGAGGCTTGAGCTTTAAGAATTGGATATTTATTCTGTCCTCCCATATACACATTGATGCTTACCTGAAAGGAAGGCAGCATCTGCTTTTTTACCTTACCTGATCATTTCTGGCTGTTTAATTCTCTCCTCACCCTGTCCCTTGTTAATTTCATTGAGTGTAGAGTCATTCCAGGTAGATTCATTTTTACATGGTTACTGCCATCTGTTTTCCTGCTCTAACTCAACATATCTTGGGGAGGATCAGGGATTGGGGAGGTTTGGTGGGGATGGGAGTAGACTCTAACCATGTTTGACGGTCTGTGATTAGAGCTAGAGTGGGAGGAATAAGAGGGTATTCACCATTGACTGGGGGCCAGGGGCGATTTATCAAGAAGCTCATATTTAGTGTGGCCTGCCCAGCATCTTGTTGCTGGCTATAGAGTGAAAGATTGGCATTGTGGCATTTGATATGTTATCTAGGAGAGCAGGCCTGTGCATGAGGTGTTCTTGGCAAATCTGCTAATTGAAAATAGCCTTTTTCCTGGCACTCTGGGACCTGGCACTTCATTTTCTTCTATCACTTCACTCATTTCACTTCTTCCCTGCAGATTCAGGTCATTGAAGACGACAGGAACAACCGGGGTTCAGAGCCATTTGTTACTGGTGTACGGGGCCAGGTGCCACCCTTAGTCACCACCAGCTTCCTGGTAAAAGACCAAGGTGAGAAAGGTGTTAACTCCGCTCTATGGGGGCCTTTTGTCCAAGGTTATCAGTTTGTAGATGGAGTTTTTGTCAGTCTGTAACCAGAGACCAAGTCCTTCTGGTAGGGAAAAAAGCCACCATCAGCTCTAGCATTTGTGGAGGTGATGGGGTGAATTATCAATGGAGAGCTGGTAACTGGAGGGCTCTTGTAATATGACTCATGTGAGACCATCTACCTCCTCCTTCAGGGAATGCAAGTCCCCGATACATCCGATGTACATCCTATAATATCCCTTGCACATCTGACATGGCAAAGCAGGCTCAAGTGCCCCTGGCAGCTGTCATCAAGCCACTGGCAAGGCTGCCCCCAGAGGAGGTAAGTCAGGGAAGGGGCTAGAATATAACGAAAGGGAAGGAGGGGGAATAAGGCTTCTTCCTAGATGTGATTCTGACTGTCATGATAGAATAAATCTTGATCGGACAGGAGGGGCAGTATCTTTAGTAGCTTTCTTTTCCAGGGCTTATTCCTGGAGAGAATGATGGTGATGACAGAAAAAGTTTGAGAAGTTGCCATGTGGACCAGGGTTCATGGGAGAAACAAACCATATGAAAATAGGCAGGACCAACTTGTGGGGTGAAGACATCTGGATGAAGGAACCTCTCATTGAGTGATCATCACCAGATGATGTGAAATACATAATTCTATTTTTTTATTTATAGGCTGGCCTGTCACCCCAGATATATAAGACAGTATGTAAGAGACAGGTACATTAGGATCCAGTACTCCGTCTCTTACCTGGCTTGGCCCCTGATCTGTGTCACTCAGTACCTGGAACCAGCATGATAAAAAAGAGCTAAACAGCTGAACTTCTAGACCTTATAGATAACTTTATGTTCATTCTTTACTTATCTAACTTTAGAGTTCTCTAGAACTTAGAAACTCAAGATTCAGTTTGTAGTCTGCTTCTTTCTTTGTCTTCTTTTGTTTTTCTCTTCTCTTTTTCTGAGTCCCAGTGGAGATGGTTGGACACTGGTCTCTTATCTCTTAGGTGATATCTGCCTGAGACATCAGTAGGTATCAAAATTCTACTCTAGGTGAAAGGAGAGAAGTGTTATAGATACTTAGGGATAGAAGCAAGAGTCAAGATCCTATGGCAGGAGTGGAAGGGAATGAATATAGGACCAGAAACAGTAATCTTGGATATCTTTGGCTTTCTGTGGCAACCCTTGGCTTGCTGTGATTAATTATGCAGTCCTTTTTTTTTCAAAAAGAAATTCATTCTGAAATGGGGAGTAAGAAGAGGGAACTATGAAATTTAGACTCAGGGACATTTTCCTTTGGTCAGTACCCTCAGTCATTTGTCCTCATTCTTTTCCACTGTACTCCTTCCCCAGGCAAAATATCTGAGCCATGTCCCTTCTCCCTCCAGGTTGTTCCTCCTCATCTGTTGCCTGAACCCACCATACATACATGTCTGAACCCACCATAGCTTCCCTCCATGTCTGAGCCCCTCCCCTTTGCTTCTTAGGCTTCGCCATATGTTGTGGACCATGGGGAATCTGGCCCTTTACGCTGTAATCGCTGTAAAGCATACATGTGCCCCTTCATGCAGTTCATCGAGGGAGGGAGGCGCTTCCAGTGCTGCTTTTGCAGCTGTATCAATGATGGTATGTCCGTGGAGGCTGGGATTCAGGGGGAAAGTCTTGATTGCATCTCATTGTTCTCTTTCTAATTAGATAGATGAGAGTCCCTTTTTCAGGAGCTGGGGAAGTAGGGCATATGTTGGGGCATTGGAGTGATATGGGGCAGCTCAGCTAGGGCCAGAGGTACTAAGTTTGAGAGTGGACCTTTGAGTAACACACTGCATACTCCCCACAGTTCCCCCCCAGTATTTTCAACATCTGGATCATACCGGCAAACGTGTGGATGCTTATGACCGTCCTGAGCTATCCCTGGGCTCTTATGAATTCTTGGCCACTGTAGATTACTGCAAGGTGAGGGAAGGTAGCAGGGGAGGAGCAATGGGTGGAGGATAATGAGACAGCTCAGAATTGCTGTTATCATTTCCCTTACCCCTTTGTTGTCCCCTTTCTTGCCGACTGCTTTCTGGTCAGCTGGCTTCCTTACCATACCCTTCTCTCCCTATTTCCTTCCTCTGCAGAATAATAAGTTTCCTAGCCCTCCTGCCTTCATCTTCATGATTGATGTTTCCTACAATGCCATCAGGACTGGTCTTGTGAGGCTTCTCTGTGAGGAGCTCAAGTCACTGTTAGACTACCTACCTAGGTGAGAGTAATGGAGCTGAGGTGTTTCCTTTGGTGAATGGTGGGTTTTGGGGAAGTTGACTGAGCAGATGAATCCGGATCTTATGAAGTTATGGATGGTAGAGAAGGTGCCAAGTCTGGGTAACAAATATTGCCATCCACAGGGAGGGCGGGGCAGAAGAATCAGCAATCCGCGTTGGCTTTGTCACCTACAATAAGGTGCTCCATTTCTACAATGTGAAGAGTTCTTTGGCCCAGCCACAGATGATGGTTGTATCTGATGTGGCTGACATGTTTGTGCCACTCCTGGATGGCTTCTTGGTCAATGTCAATGAGTCTCGGGCAGTCATCACTAGGTAAGAGCCAGATTGTGGGGGTGAAAAGAGAGTGGGGAAGGCCAGGGAGTTGGGGTCAGTAGGTGGACAGGGACTGTGGCTTCAGGAGTTTCAGAGTCTGGAGGCCAGATGATTCTTAAGAGAATTAAAAACTAAAGCATATGGAATCTGAATAGCAATTTTGGTTATTTCCCATTGCCTATCTCTTTAGCTTATTGGATCAGATTCCAGAAATGTTCGCAGACACAAGAGAGACAGAGACAGTATTTGCCCCAGTTATCCAGGCTGGGATGGAGGCTTTGAAGGTAATTGTTAGAGTTCTTGGTAACCTCCTCTGCCTTGCTTTTTTATTCTTTTCTCTGCCTTACATTCCTCTCACCATCTTTACCCTCTGGGATACAGTCTCCATTTCTTCAGTGATTGGTGACTGTCCAGCAAGTCAACCTTTCTGACATAGTTGGTGCTTAATAAATGATAAGGGAAGGAATAAATGAATAAAAAATGAAAATGTAGTGCTGTCTTCTTTCCTAGGCTGCTGAGTGTGCAGGAAAGCTGTTTCTGTTCCATACATCCTTGCCCATTGCGGAGGCCCCAGGGAAGCTGAAGAACAGAGATGACAGGAAGTTGATCAACACAGACAAGGAGAAGGTGTGGGACTGGAAGGTGGGGGGAGGACTTTTCAGTAGAGGGAAAGGTGATGACTCTTCCCAGTGTCTTTTGTGTGTGTGTGATACTGGAGATTGAACCCAAGGCCTAGCCAACCTGTTTCACTACTTCCACATGTTTCTATCCTGTCCCAGTCCAAAGCCCTCTGTGGACTCTTTTTTTTTTTTTTTTTTTGGTAGTACTGGGGATTGAACCTAATGACACTTTACTACTAAGCTACATCTCCATTTTTTATTTCAACACAGGACTTCTTTAAGTTGAAAAGAACTTGTGATCCTCCTAACTCAGCCTCCCAAGTTGCTGGTATTACAAGCTTGGGCCAATGAGCTGCCTCTTAGCCAATTTATATATATATATATTTTTTTTTTTTTTTTTTTGAGACAGGATCTCATTAGGTTGCAAGGCTACCTTGAACTTGTGATCTTTCTGCCTCAGTCTTCCAAGTAGCTGGGATTACAGGCAAGCACCACTGTGCCTGGCTTTGCTTTTTTTTAAACAGAACTTTGTACTACTATTGTAAATTCCTAGGCAACGCTCTGAAGTCTTACAAGTATTTGAGTATACATATTACATATATTCCCTTAAAGAGGGAAGAGCTGAGAAATTTGAACATTTTTTCTGCTCCTCCCCAGACTCTGTTCCAGCCCCAGACAGGTGCCTATCAGACTCTGGCCAAAGAGTGTGTGGCCCAAGGCTGCTGTGTAGACCTCTTTCTCTTCCCTAACCAGTACGTGGATGTGGCCACGCTCTCTGTTGTGCCCCAGCTCACTGGTGGCTCTGTCTACAAATATGCTTGCTTTCAGGTATGGTGTGGAATTCTGGGTGGCATATGGCAGCAGATCTTAGAATGACTGCTTACATATGGAGTGGCTTCTGAGCCGCTGACTCATTAATAGGAATTGTGTTAGAGAAATGTAAAGAAGGGAGCTCTGGAAGGGAAAGGTTAGGAGCAAGGTCTTTGCTGTCAGTACTGGGTTGATACTCTGGCCCCACCACATAATAGCGCTGTTAACACAGGAAAAAAATTATTATCCCTTTTTTTGTTCTTTCATTTCTAAAATGAAAGAACATTTTAATACTTATTAATTAGGATTTATCCACAGAATGAAATAATCATATGTAAAGCACTCTGTGTGGTACCTGGCATGTAGTCAGTGCTTTAAAAGTATCACTATTATCAATATCATTGTTAATCATCTTCACTGTTATTGTTATTATAATTAAGCAGGCTTGTGGAGTGGAAGGGGTACAGGGAAACTGCAGGGTAAGTTATATGGTTAGTGATATGACTCTGGGCCTGGGCGACTGCAGGTGGAGAATGATCAGGAACGGTTCCTGAGTGACCTGCGTCGTGATGTACAGAAGGTTGTTGGCTTTGATGCTGTGATGCGGGTCCGGACAAGCACTGGTCAGTCCTGGTTGAAGAGCAGTTGGGGGGTTAAATCTGAGAGGAAAGCGTGTGGCACCTGTCACAACCTTTAGTTGTGACCCTGTCTCTATGTGGCCTCAGGTATCCGTGCTGTAGATTTCTTTGGAGCATTCTACATGAGCAACACAACAGATGTGGAGCTGGCTGGGCTAGATGGGGACAAGACAGTGACTGTGGAGTTCAAGCATGATGATCGGCTTAATGAAGAGAGTGGAGCGCTCCTGCAGGTGGCAAGCGGGAGGCAGGGGCTAGGGAGGAAGTACTAGGTGAGGAGCAGGTAGAAAGATTCAAAGAAGCAGCTGGGGGAGGGTTGGCTTATACCTTTTCTTCTAGTTTAATGATGTAGCAAAGGGACAGTTTTTCAGAGGACTTTTGTGAGGGAGGATGTGAGTTTCCCCTTTTTCTTCCTCTAGTGTGCCCTGCTTTATACCAGTTGTGCAGGGCAGCGTCGGCTCCGCATCCACAATCTGGCCCTAAACTGCTGCACCCTGCTGGCTGATCTGTATCGGAACTGTGAGACTGACACACTTATCAACTACATGGCCAAGTTTGGTGAGGATAGGCATAGGGCAGGATGGGATTGGGGCTGAGAGAAAGGCCCAAGATGGTCAACAATTCAACATTCCTGGGTAGGTCTGATGGTGGGAAGGCTCATATGATGTGGCTGACCAGTAAGTGCTATTCCCCCTTCTCCACCCAGCATACCGGGGTGTCCTGAACAGCCCTGTGAAGTCTGTGCGTGACACTCTTATCACACAGTGTGCCCAGATCCTAGCCTGTTACAGAAAGAACTGTGCCAGCCCCTCCTCTGCAGGACAGGTGGGGCAAACATGTCAGTGGAGGGGTTCTTGGGACAAAGTTTAACACTTAGGAGGAATTTTTCATGATCATTAATTTTATTCCAATAACTCCTCAGTTGATCCTTCCTGAGTGCATGAAGCTACTCCCAGTTTATCTGAACTGTGTGTTGAAGAGTGATGTCCTGCAGCCTGGAGCTGAAGTCACTACAGATGACCGTGCCTATGTCCGACAGCTGGTTACCTCCATGGATGTGGCTGAGACAAATGTCTTCTTCTATCCTCGCCTCCTGCCATTGGTGCGATTGAGGATTGGGGTGTGAGACATGGCACTGAGATAAGGGCCTCGTAGAAGAAGGAATTTTGGGGGGGGCTGGGGTTGTGGCTCAGAGGTGCAACACTTGCCTAACATGCGTGAGGCACTGGGTACAATCCTAGGCACCACATAAAAATAAAATAAAAGAGGGCTGGGGATATAGCTCAGTTGGTAGAGTGCTTGCCTCACATGCACAAGGTCCTGGGTTCAATCCCCCTTGCCACCAAAAAAATTAATTAATTAATTTAAAAAATTTAAAAAAGGATATTGTGTCCACCTATAACTAAAAAAAAAAAAAATTAAAAAAAAAAAAGGAGGAGGAATTGTGGGTGGGAGAGTAATAGTATCTCTGTTTGATACTAAGGAATTTGTTTTAAGTACATTTCACACTGAGAATTACAGAGTGAGTGGTGTCTAGGGGCTTATCTTTTTGAGTTCTGTGTGTATGTGTGAAGGGGGCAGGTATGTCTTATGTTCCTTGGTAAATTTTTGCCCCCTTCCTTTTGTCTAGACAAAATCTCCCATTGAGAGTACCACTGAACCACCAGCAATCCGAGCATCTGAAGAACGTCTAAGCAATGGCGATATATATTTGTTGGAGAATGGGCTCAACCTCTTCCTCTGGGTGGGAGCCAGTGTTCAACAGGGTGTTGTCCAGAGCCTTTTCAACGTCCCTTCCTTCAGTCAAATCACCAGTGGCTTGGTGAGGACAAGGAGTCATGGAGAATATGGGTGTGGAAATACATTTTGTGGTGTGAGTGGGAGCCAATAAAGTTAGTGTGTGGGGCCCCTTGCATAACAGGGAACACTTATGGGGAAAGGAGGGTACTGTCAATCTTTACTCAGGCTCTCAGTTAATGCATAAATCTGTGTTGCCCCCTTCTTGACTGAATTATGAGTACTTCATCACAAGGAGGAATGGCTTTTGTGTTACAGAGTGTTCTGCCAGTTCTGGATAATCCACTGTCCAAGAAGGTTCGAGGCCTCATTGATAGCTTAAGGGCACAGAGATCACGGTACATGAAGGTAACACTTCTTTGAAGCCTCTTATTTTTCAATTTTTTGTGGTACTAGGGATTGCACCTGGGGAGCTCTGCTACTGAACTACATCTCTAGCCTGTTTTATTTTTTATTTTGAGGGTCTCACTAAGTTACTGAGGCTTGCATTGTGAACTCGGAGATCCTCCTGCCTAAGCCTCCCAAGTAAATGGGATTATAGGCATGAACCACCATGCCTGGTTAAACCCTAAATTTCTTGTCAAGTCCTCACCTGGAAGTGGGGTGGGGAGTGAGTGAGTGATTAGATCATGAGATTTCTAGGCATGCTTCATTCCCTTTGACCCTGCATTCTGGCCATAGCTTATCGTGGTGAAACAGGAGGATAAGCTGGAGATGCTGTTCAAGCACTTTCTGGTGGAAGACAAGAGCCTGAGCGGGGGAGCATCCTATGTGGACTTTCTCTGTCATATGCACAAGGAGATTCGGCAGCTACTGAGCTAAAAGCAAATGGGTAAACGGCATAGGGTCCCAGGCCAGCTTCCAGAAAGTATCCCAGGATGGCAGAGAAATTGGGACAGTTCCATATCTTATAAGTCATGTAAGCTGACCTCAGTCTCTTTGGGGGGAGGGGGAGATATAAGGAGACACCTTCTTTCTGGGCTTAAGTAATCCTACCACTCTGTCATGTCCTGCTGATGGAAGGTGCCCCTATCCCCTCACTCTATCCTCCTTTTCCTGCTAATCCTGTCGTAATGAATGTAGTTTTTCATTTTACTGTATATGATTCGGTGTTGGGGGTTTGGAGGCACCCAGACCCTGGCAATATTTTGTCCCTTTGGACCAGCCTCTGAGAGGAGAGGGGCAGGCAGGAAGGAGTGGGGATCCCAGGTTACTACAGGGGGTGGCTAATTCAGCTCAGTGTCATCAACTTCCTATATTAGGGATAACACATACAGATACACAAGAGCTGGGGTACAGACCATAGGTGGTGGAGAGAAAAGTGGTTGGTCCTTCTTGGGCCTGGAGGTCAGCAGCCAAATCACAATTATTGAGGGTGGTTGATTAGCTTTCTCTGCTTCCGCTGTTTGTGTTCTCTCCCTTGCAATGACTGGTGATTACTTCATGGATAGAAGCACGTTGTCAGAGATGAATAAGCCTGGGAATTGAGTTGCAAAATATGTTTTCACCTGGGAGAGGTACCAGCCTCCTTTTCAGCTGGAGAGGCCTCAACACTGGATGGTTCTGTAGGGAGCCTGATCATCAACTTGCAATACCTCACAGAGCCAGCCCACATCCCGCTCACCTTCCACTGGCAACGCAGCTTCTTCAAGCCAGGGGTCGTTGGGGAGAGACAGGTGGCTGAAGCCCTGTGCTCTTTCACCAGGACACCACTTGGGCTTTGGGATTGACTGAGTGGCTGACAGTTATCTTCCAACCCCAACTGGCTGGGGCAGGACAAGGGCTAGTATTGAGGGTTAGCCAAGCTTGTCTGCTCCCAGCCTGGGATGCCCCTGCTCTGGACCTCTCATTTCTCTTCATTGGTTTATTTTTCAATGCATCTTTAATTTGTAAAGAAATAAAATAAGATGTAACCAGTAGCCTCATCTTTACTAGCAATGTCTCTTCTGTTACGCTCCTCCGGAGCTGCGCATGCGCCGCGTGCCCCTTTGGCGTAAGACCTCGTCTCGCCGTAACTTGCCGGCGGGTGGGGTCTTGTGCTGGCCGAGGGCCGCCAGCTGCCAGAATGGACATGGCGGCCGGACGCACCGGAGTTCTGCTGGCTGCCCTTGGTGTGCTTATTGTCTGTGTGGCCAACGGCTCTGGGCCTGTGGCTGAAGGAGAGGCGAGCGGGGAGGTGGAGTGGGTGGAGCCATGGGACGGCGCGGTTTTCCGGCCGCCCTCGGCCCTGGGCGCGGTGGGGGTGGCGCACAGAACCGGGACTCCGCAGCTGGGAAGGCAGGAGACAGCGGACTTGCCGGTGCTGCTCTGGTGGAGCCCTGGACTATTTCCCCATTTCTCAGGCGACTCGGAGCGCATTGAGTGCGCGCGCGGCGCGTGCGTGGCGTCCCGCGACCGACGAATGCGGGGGAACACGCAGACGCGCGCGCTGCTCTTCTACGGCACCGACTTCCGCGCGTCTGACGCGCCGCTGCCGCGCCTGGCACACCAGAGCTGGGCGCTTTTACACGAGGAGTCGCCCCTCAACAACTTCTTGCTGAGCCACGGCCCGGGCATCCGCCTCTTCAATCTTACCGCCACCTTCAGCCGTCACTCGGACTATCCCCTACCACTGCAGTGGCTGCCCGGGACCTCCTATCTGCGCCGCGCGGCGCCTCCTCTCCAGGAGCGTGCTGAGTGGCGCCGTCGCGGCTACGCACCACTACTCTATCTGCAGTCCCACTGCGATGTGCCTGCGGACCGGGACCGCTACGTGCGCGAGCTCATGCGTTACATCCCGGTGGGTGAAGGGGGCATGCGGAAGGGAGGGGGCGGGCCGGGAGGAGCCCAGGAACCGGGAGTCCAGGGCTACAGGCCCAACCCTTCTGACAGCCGTACTCTACTCCGCTCAGGTGGACTCCTACGGCAAATGCCTGCAAAATCGGGAGCTGCCCACCGCGCGGCTTCAGGACACGGCCACAGCCACCACTGAGGACCCAGAGCTCTTGGCTTTCTTGTCCCGCTATAAGTTCCACTTGGCCCTCGAAAATGCCATCTGCAACGACTACATGACAGAAAAACTGTGGCGCCCGATGCATCTGGGTGCTGTTCCAGTGTACCGCGGCTCTCCTTCTGTGAGGGACTGGATGCCGAACAACCACTCCATCATCCTTATTGACGACTTTGAGTCCCCTCAGAAGCTGGCAGAATTTATTGACTTTCTGGATAAGAATGATGAGGAATATATGAAATACTTGGCATATAAGCAACCTGGGGGCATCACCAACCAGTTCCTTCTGGATAGCTTGAAGCAACGGGAGTGGGGAGTGAATGATCCTCTACTGCCTAACTACCTGAACGGCTTCGAGTGCTTCGTTTGTGACCACGAACTGACTCGGCTGGACGCCGTGAAAGCCCATGCAGACTCTCCTGGGGACATCCCTGTCCCTGAGCCTCACATTGCCCAACCCGCTCACATGGACTGCCCAATGCCCAAACCTGGCTTTGGTAACTTGGAAGAGATTCCTGAGAATGACAGGTAAGGTTTGCTGGCGTCCAGTGCAGCTGTCAAATCAAATTGTCTACTTCCTTGCTTACTGTAGTTGATTTTTCAGGTTTCAGGACAGCCCAAACTCCTGAGTCTGATAGGCTGTTTATAGTCTTGCCTCAGTTTATCTGCCTAACTTTCTTTCTCCCTCATCACTGCCTGTACTGGTTCAAGTGGCTTTTTTTTTTTTTTTTGACTACCATAACAGACATTGTCCACAATAATTGATTCTCACGTGTTATTGCCTTGTTTATATTCTACATTTTTACTCATCCTTTTTCATTTTCATTTTGCCTTGTTTCCTCAATTACTCTTGTTGACACCTTAAAGAAAGAATGAGCCCATGTCATAATTTTCTCTTATTCTCCTCAGCAAAAGAAAGGAAAAAAAAAAAACTGGAATGTAACTCAGTGGTGGAGTACTTCTGGATTCAGTCCCCAGTACTAGGAGGAAAAACAATAACCCTGATTTGGATGATAAATTATATGTTCACACTAGACAGAATTGGAGGAATGCTTTCATAAGATTAATGATTAACAATGATTGGCAGTGTGGTTGGAAGGGAAGTGAGTAATCAACAGTAGTAGATCACAGAAGGTGGTGGCATTGGGAAACAAGGTCTTCATGGGATGTGGAGTGGGAAAATGGTAAAGCTACTTATAGCAATAGAATGGGCTGCAGAAGCTGACTTGGACAGTGGATGGCAGCAGAGGGCTGCTTATGTATGCTGCTGGTACAGTATGGTCCTGGTGGAGGAATCTTCTTCCACCAAGTAATTTGTATTCAGTTTATGTTGAACATACTATCAGTTATTAGAGTAAAATATAAAACAATGTGAAACATTAAGAAAATATTTAGGTTATGTCTTTTAGACACTGGATGCCACTGCAACTTCATTTTGATTATTGCTATAAAGGTGAAACTTAAAATATTGGGCTGGGGATGTGGCTCAAGTGGTAGCGCGCTCGCCTGGCATGCGTGCGGCCCGGGTTCGATCCTCAGCACCACATACAAAGATGTTGTGTCCACCGAAAACTAAAAAATAAATATATATATATTTAAAAAATATATATATAATCATCTGAAGTTCCTTGGGATAACTACTATTTCCATAGATTGGTCCCTGCCATGCCTGCCTCTGAATTCCCTCAATATTTGGGAGCCAGAAGCCGGCAAGTCAGGAATTTTTACTTATTGGGTAGACTGTGTGAGGTTAGTCTTTTATTTTCTGACACTTGGGGTAGTACTGGATTGACCTCACATTTCCTTCACTTCACAGGAGAACCTTGTCCTAGATAGAGGAAGTGTATCTGCTTATGATTTCTTTGTCCCCACTCAGAGAAAGGTGGGATTCATCCCTATGCTCTGATTCTAATACCAAATACCACTTGGTATTTCAGCTGGAAGGAGATGTGGCTGCAGGATTATTGGCAAGGTCTGGACCAGGGAGAAGCTCTCACTGCCATGATCCACAACAATGAAACTCAGAAGAGTAAATTTTGGGATTACCTGCATGAGATCTTCATGAAAAGGAACCAAAATCTCTAACTGCCCTTGTAAGAGCTTTTTACTTGGAAGATCTAAGGAGATCTTATTTTATCATGGCATACTTTCTTTTTTCAGAGACAAGGGCTTACTGCATTGCCCAGGTTGGCCTTGAATTCTTCCTGCCTCAGCCTCCCATTTAGCTGAGACTAAAGGCACATGCCATTGTGCCCAGACAAACATTCTCTTATCATGGATTTAGTTATCTTAATGATGTGTTACCAAGGTCTCAACATGTGGTAATAGGTCTCCAGGAGAGATGGAGGCATCCAGTTCTTGGTTCATTGGGAAACAGAAGCCTAAAACACCCATTTGACACAAGGTGCTGGCCCAAAAGAGTTTTTAAAGGACTGTTCACTTCTCTAGCTCTTTCATCCTCTCAATTTTGAGGTAAGATGGGCCAGGTTACTTCTTAAAATTTCTGTTCTATTTCCCAAACTCTTCCTTATTCTGTACCTTTCCCAATAATCTCTTTTCCTCATCTCTTGCTTTATGAACTGTTAAGCTGGTAGGGAAGCAAAGCTTCTGGTGTGTTTTATTCTGGTTTTCTGAGGAAGTTTTTGTTTTGTTTTGGTTGAGTCAGGATCTCATTCTGTTGCCTGAGCTGGTCTCAAGTAAACCTCTTATCTCAGCCTACAAGTAGCTGGGACTACAGGTGCACACCACTGTGTCCAACTCTTGGGGCCATATTTTTCATATTGTTACATTACTTTTCACATCAGATAGTTTATTTTAAATGGCCTTTTTCTAGTTTTAGGTTCTTTCCCACAATTTCAGATGGAGATACATAAACCTTGCCATCACTTTTTTACTGCTGGTTTGTTTTTAGGGTACATCTGGAATTCTATTTCATTTCATGAACAGATTTAGTAGCTGATACATGCAATGTCAATAATGTACTGCTCTGATCTATTTTATTTATTTATTTTTTTAATATTTTATTATTTTTTAGTTTTCGGCGGACACAACATCTTTGTATGTGGTGCTGAGGATCAAACCCGGGCCGCACGCATGCCAGGAGAGCACGCTACCGCTTGAGCCACATCCCCAGCCCTCTGATCTATTTTAGATCAAAGATGGAGACTAAAGTTGGAAATTACAGCAGAAAAAGTTGAATAGCCCAACTATTCCATACAGCTTTGTGGACAGAGAATTACTGTTAGATGGAGCACACCCAAAGCCCTAAACTCAGAGATGAAGAGGCAAGGCAAGAAATTTAAGCCACCACAAGTGGCTGGCTAAATAAAAACCTTAGATTTAGGGATGCAGCCAAGCCCTTCTATTCCTGTGGCTCAAACAGATAGTCTAGTGAGTAAGGATACCATGAGCTTTCCCTGGAGTAGTGGAACAAAAAAGAATACTTTGGATATTAGAGCAACTCTGGTTGTAATATATTAGCAAATTACCACTGGAGAAGTTCTGTAGCTTATCAGTATATCTGATTATAAAATTATATATGTCCATATCTATATGTAGATAGGGAGATATATATGCATGTTAGATGCTTCAACAACTAGGTCCATGTTTAACATTGTAGCATCTGTGGATGTGATCAAGAAAAACTGTAATTTAGGCTGTATTTCATTGCCAAGGTTTTTTTTTTTTTTTTAATGGTGCTGAGGATTGAATCCAAGGCTGCGAACATGCTAATAAGCATGAGTTCTGCCTCTAAGCTACACCTCCAGCCCTTCATTTTACACTTAAAATGATAAAAGATGTCCTTTATCATAGTAGGAAAAGTTTTCTTAACCTGTTTTGTCTCTTGCAGAAAAGAACAAAAAAAGACCTTCAAAAATACATCTGTTAAAATTTGATATAGTTGGCACCCATAAAAAACACACACAGGACTCTGATTTCTAAGCTTGCAATCTGTTTCAGTGCAGATGCTGATTCACATTGCAAAATACATATTGCATAAGTACAAACTTAGGTTAGAACTCAGATTGCATTCTGTGCAATAAAAAGGGTAAGTGATGGTTATGCAAGAAGTAGAATAATCCCTACCTCTCCTAACTGCCAGTTCACATTAGCATTCCTTTAGCACTTTTATACACAAAGTAGGCCATTTGTTTTTGAATGGTTTGCTGAAGACTCAGGCCTGCTTTGTGCTCAGGTCTTCCCAGACTTTCTTCCCTATTCTTTTTAACCATGTAAGTATTCACAAAAAGCAGGATAAATCAGGTGCTATGTTTCTATATGGGAAAAACAAAAACAAACAAAAAACTACTAGGAATGGCACCCTGGTACTTATCAATTAAAAGTTTCACTTTCCCTATGGAGAAAGCAAGCAATGTTAATTTTTTTGTGGTTTGGGGCCCAGCTTGCTGTGTATACAGCAGCAGTATATTTGCTGCAGGCTGTGCTTACTGATGGTAGAAGTGCCTGGTAGGAATCTTTCTTATTTACACTGTGCTCTACTGTGGGGGTAGAGCACAAGGCTAATGTCTTTATTCCTGCAAGTGTTGCTATTTTTATTATCTCAGGTTTCATTTTGTATAATAAACTGCTTTTTAAACAATGTCTTCTGCTTAGTTACTTTTTGGGTTTGGGCATGATACAGTTGGAGACTTATAAAAATATTTCAAATGTGTTCTTTTAAGAAGTATTAACACTATTCTATGCACTGGAGATTCAGCAAACTGATACACAAACAAGACTCCTTCTCTCATAGTGCTTACATTTTAAAATGGATGTTGCAGATAGATAAGGCCATGAACAAAAATAAATTCAGACTATGACAGGTGCTCTGAAGAAAACAGGTTGATGGTGATGGGGTGTGAGAAGTGAGGGAAGGTTCTCTGACATGAACAGACTGAAGGGAAGAAACCCAGCCATGCAGATATCAATGGGAAGATTCTAAACATCTGTGATAAATGATTTTAACACAAATTTACACATCGAAGTAAATACTGCTCCTCCAAATTAGTCATCACATGAACTAAAGACTTGTTCAAAATATACTCCTTTTATAGAAACATTTCTTGGAGCTCATTTGGAAATGCCATAAGAATTCCTGGCACATCTTTGGGCTGAATTTTAGGTCGTTAAGAACTGAGTCTGAGCCAGGTGCGGTGGCGCACGCCTGAAATCCCAGAGGCTTGGGAGGCTGAGACAAGAGATCCGAAAGTTCAAAGCCTATCTTAGCATCAGTGAGGTGCTAAGCAACTTAGAGAGACCCTGTCTCTAAATATAAAGTACAAAATAGGGCCGGGGATGTGGCTCAGTGGTGGAGTACCCCTGAGTTCCATCCCCGTACTAAAATATAACTGAGAAAGAAGTCTGGGGGTGGGGTTGTAGCTCAGTGGTAGAGCGCTTGCCTAGTACGTGTGAGGCACTGGGTCCACTTTGCACCGCATATAAATACATAAAATAAAGGTCCATTAACAACTAAAGACATAAAAACAACAACAACAAAAAACTAAGTCTGATGCATCACAACTAAAAAAGTCCCAGTCTATAAATACTATATGGTAGCTTCAACAGGACTGATGAGAGGATTAAAGATGAATGTGTAAGCGTTTAAACCTTACCCCACCCAATGGGATCCTTACAAAGGAGTGAGCGGTATTGTTACAAGATAAATGAGCTTAATTTTTCTTTGTGGCTTCAGAGAGGTACCAAAAGTAAAAAACAGTTCCTGAAGGTTTGTTAAAAACATCTTTTTCCACCTAACATCTTTTTTTTTTTTTTTTTTTAAGGAGAAAGAAATTTTATTGCTTTGCTTTGCTAGCAAAGGAGAAAAGAAACACAGGGGACTCCTATCTCTCATCGGGTATTTTTCGCAGCATTGGGAATTGATCCCAGGGCCTTGGCGCATGCTAAGCAAGCGCGCTACCACTGAGCTATATCCCAGGGACCTAACGTCTTAAAGACTCACATTTTATTTCGCTCCTATCTTTTATCTTTGTACGCGTCAATCACCCTCTAGACCAGTCAGCCACCATCAGAAACGAGTGTTTATCAGGACCCTTTCCTGCAAGACCACGGTCCCCAGAGAGGAGTGGCTCGTCTCCTAACCTGCAAACGTGTATAGATCCGCAGGCTTTCGAACCCAGAGCTGTTGTTGCGGAGGCCAGAAAAAGAGATGCACAGCGAGCCTGGACTAGCCAGTAGGGGTCACGCGAGGTCACGCACGACGCCGCGGAGCCTGCCGGGAGCGCAGTACACAATGGCGACTCCCAGTCTGCGAGGTCGCCTGGCGCGGCTTGGGAACCCCCGCAGGCCTGTACTGAAGCCCAATAAACCCCTCATCCTAGCTAACCGAGTTGGAGAGCGGCGCCGGGAGAAGGGCGGTGAGCAATCGGAGCCTGGGAGGCCCCGGAACGGGAACCGGAGTGGGGTAAGGACGGTTGGGTAGGAGGGCGGGAAGATAGGTCTCTTTGTGACTGAGAGTCCCTCAGTTCTTCCCCTCCAGAGGCGACCTGTATCACGGAGATGTCGGTCATGATGGCTTGCTGGAAGCAGAATGAATTCCGCGACGAGGCGTGCAGGAAAGAGATCCAGGACTTCTTCGATTGTGCTGCAAGGGCTCAGGTGACAGCTCCTAGGGATCCTTCTCAAGAAAAGAACAGGGGGATGGATACAAATAGTTCTCCATGCTTTTTGCTAGGTGATGGGAAAGGTCCTCTCTTTAATTTATGATCTGCTTTACGCCAAAGTGACAAAAATAACAGTTGAACGATTTGTTTCACTTCTCTGAACTTTAGTTTTACTGTCAATATTAGAAACCACGTTGTAGAATTTTGAGAATGTCAAAGAAGTAATGAATGGAAAAATCACCTGAGCAAATTTAAATTGCTGCTTAAATAGATTGTTGAACTTATCTAAGGACAGTTTGGTTTCCAACTTGGATTTAACCTCTAGTTTTTTGGTACCAGAGATTGAATCCAGGGGCACTTAGCCATTGAGCCATCCCCAGCCCCCCCCCCCCCCCCCCCCCGTTTTTTAAAATTTCGATGCAAGGTCTTGCTAAGTTGTTGAGGCTGGCTTTGAACTTGTGATCCTTCTGCCTCAACCTCCCAAGTTGTTCGGATTACATGGCACGTGGCACCTGCTAGCTTTTCTTTTTCTTTCTTTCATGGTCCCTGGGATTGAACCCAGGACCTTGTGCATGCAAGATAAGCACTGTACCAACTGAACTATATCCCTAGCCTACAACTGCTAGCTTTTAATAGTAGCTTCAGGTCATAGTTACTTGTAGGTCCCAGGTCCCTTTTGTTGAAAGCTGTTTACACAAATGTCTCTGGATTGGTTAATACCTTAGTGTACTTCGGAGCATTGAAAAATAAAAACTATGTGCCTAGGGCATACTTTAGAATTGTTATTGTTTTTATTCTGTTTTTAGGAAGCACGAAAAATGAGATCAGTCCAGGAGACCATGGGAGAGTATGGGAGTTTACCTCCCAAGAAATTGAATAAATTATTACAAAGGTTTCCTAACAAACCTCATCTCAGCTGAAAGTGGAGAAGCATTTTCAATGATTGGACTATCACTTCTGAACACTGTGCAGAGGCATTTTAGAGATGTTTGCACTGTCATGCTCTCTTCCAAGGGTAAAATGAGGTGATACCCTTTTTTTTGCACTTTGGAGTTACAGTGTACATGGAAATTTTGGTTTATCTTGAAATAAAATTCTCTGAAGAGAAATTGGCCTTTTGTTGTGAACTAGATACTCTTTTTCTTTGTATGTGTGTGTGTGGGAGGGATGGAACCCAAGGCCTCTGGAATTCTAGGTATTGTACCAGTGAGCTATATTCCCCAGACTTCTCTCCTTTCTTGAATCCTATATTCTCTCTTAGTTCCAGGAAGGTCTTTTCTTCCCGATTTGCCCTAGGGTGGACAAGATGTCTTTTTCTGCCTTAGAATCCTTTATACCATTTAGTGCTTTTGCTTTGGTTACTAAGAATGTTGAAGTTTGCCCATACGTAGAGCTTTTTGCCATCATCTGTATTTAGTGAGTACTTATTTTGTGCACAACCCCTTCAAGGTCCTCCCTTAATGAAGTTCACAAACTGGTGATCCAGAGGTTCTTCAGATATATTTTATGTGGTCCATGTAGATAAAAACATGTTTTTAAGTTACCCGATCTCATTCAAAAATAGAAAAAAATCCATTTTTAGCCACTGTTTTAAAAAAAGTCAAAAAGCTCTGGCAACTGTATTTCCTTTTTCTACTTAGCAATAACCAGATGGAGCTGATTATTATTTGTCCTGATATTCCAGTGACCTCCCACTAGACTCTTTCAGATGGTGAAACAGGCTTGATTGACAATCATCTTCTGTTGTATTGCCTGTTCGGTTTCCTCAAGTTACCAAAGGTGTTTATTTTTGTAATCTCCTGGTATTTAGGAACAATTGCACATAGCACTTTATGTGTATTCTGGTCTTTCAGGTATAATTGAGTTAACCTTTTCTATGTACTTTTTAGTAATGAATGAAGGACAAAGTGATCAGTGGAGTTTTTAATGTTCCAGTGGGATAATTATTAAAGAGGGGTCTTTCCTCTTTATCCCCCAGTACCTATTCACATACTCCTTGTATTTCATGTCTAGAGCACTGTGCCTACTGCCTAATTCTGCAAGCTAAGCCTTCTAGCTATAGGAGGCCCTTTGGACTAGATTTAGGAGATTTTTGTGTTTGTTTTGTTTTTGAGTTGGGACTTGAACCAGGAAGTACTCTACTACTGAACTATATCCCTGGCCCCAATCATGGTATTTTCATACCATATTACAGTTTATTAAAAATATCTCAGAATGATCCAGGTGTGATGGTGTACTCCTGTATTCCCAGCAACTTGGGAGGCTGGGGCAATAGGATAAGTTTGAGGCCAACCTCAACAAATTAGCAAGGCCCTAAGCAACTTGTCGCAAAAAATAAAAAGCCCTGGGGATGTAATTCAGTGGTAAAGCACCTATGGGTTCAATTCCCAGTATACAATAAATAAATAAAACTCAAATGTAATTTATACTCATTTATTAGCTTCAAGATTATAGTAGTTATATCTTACATTTATTGTTTTGTTTTTGTTTTTGTTTTTGAGTGTGTGTGTGGTGCTGAGAGAGGACCTTGCCCATAAAGGCAAGCATTGTACCACTGAGCTCCACCCCTAGCCGGATCTTGTAATTTAACATGTAAATAAAGAAGCATTATTATGTTACAAATTTGTTTCAATAACTTTTTTTTTTTTTTTTTTTTGGTGCTGGGGATTGAACCCAGGGCCTCCTTCAGACAAGGCAAGCACTCTACCAACTGAGCTACATCTCCAGCCCTCATTATTTTGATAATTGTATTTAATCATAATTTGTTTCCTTTGTAAAATTCTTGTTTTACTTTGTGCATTTGTAAACAGTGAGAGGAGGACCGTGGACTTCACCAGATTGCTAAACAGTCTATAACACAAAGATTAAGAATTCCTGGACTGAGGGGCTGGGGGGTATAGCTCCCTGGTAGAGTGCTTGCCTAGCATGTGTGAGGCACTGGGTTCCATCCTCAGCACCGCATAAAAATAAATAAAGGTATTTTGACCATTTGTAACTAAAAAATAAATAAATGGATGGATGGATAGATAAATAAATAAATAAAAGAATTCCTGGACTCAAAGGCCTCACTGACAAAAAGAAAAACCATTTCCTGAAATCAAATGCCTTCTTTCCTGGGGTTTCCCCAGTTAGACCCATACAAGTCTGGGGAATTGCAAGCTTCTGGACTACAATTCCCAGAAGCTGATGCGGCCCCAGGGCCTATCCCGAGTTAGGCCAATACCTCCGACCAATGGTTCCTGTGCCATCTCTTGACATCCTACGCTTCCCGACATGCACAGCGGCTGTTTATTCCTTCGGGACTTTATGGACACCAAGTTATTGCTAGAATCTGTAGTCGTTTAATATATCGTTGGGGACTGGTTTCCTCTTATGGTGTGTGACGGTAGGCTCGAGGAAAAAAAAGCAGGAAATGTAGCAGTTAAACAAACATGTCAGCCAGGCGTAGTGGCACATGCCTGTAATCCTAGCGACTCCGAAGGCTAAGGCAGGAGAATCTCAAGTTCGAAGCTAGCCTCCGCAATTTAGCGAGATCCTCAGCAACCTTATGATACCCTGCCTTAACAAAAGGGTGGGCTGGGGATGTAACTCAGTGGTAAGCGCCCCGGGTTCTATCTCAGGCACTAAATACAAACAAACATGTCTCCTACACCCGCCCGTATGGGGTCCAGTTCAAGAGCGCGAGGGCGGAAGTGGTGATGGCCGGCGCGGCCGGAAGTTCAGATCAGCTGATGGGGGAGGCGGCTCCGCAGCCGCCTAGAGGCCCCGGCCGCCCAGCGCTTCGTCCGGGCCCTGAGTCTCGGAGACTGGGCACAACCCCTGTTCATACCTCGCTGTTGGGCGAGGCCTGGTCCCGTGTCTCTCTCAGGCTTGGGATCTTCGCCCGGCACGGCAGCCCTGAGCACCCCGGCCACCCCCAGCCCCGGCTCGCCCCTCAGGCCCCGGGCCTCCCCTCAGTCCCCGGCCGGCGGCCCAGGCCCCGGATCCGCGGGGGGAGACCCGGCCCCGGGGGGTGCGGGCCCCATGGAGCTGATGTTCGCGGAATGGGAGGATGGAGAGCGCTTCTCATTCGAGGATTCAGACCGCTTTGAGGAGGATTCGCTCTGTTCCTTCATCTCCGAGGCCGAAAGCCTTTGCCAGAACTGGCGGGGATGGCGCAAACAGTCGGCGGGGCCCAATTCCCCCACTGGCGGCGGTGGAGGAGGTGGTAGTGGCGGTACCAGAATGAGAGGTGAGGGTGCACGGGGTGGGGTGGGGGGAGGGGAGCGGACAGGCTCTGTTTGGGCCTTGCTTGGGAGCTGTCCGGGACCGGGAGCTGTCCCAACCTTAGGATTGCTTTCAGGAGTCGCTTTTCCGGCCCTCCGGAGGTGGGCTGACTACTCCATGCAAGTGTGTGTGTGTATGTGTGTGTGTGTGTGTGTGTGTGAGAGAGAGAGAGAGAGAGAGAGAGAGAGAGAGATGCGTTGTGGCAGGGAATCCTGGGTTGGACAGAAAGATCTTTTGTCGTTCCTTTGCCTTAAAGATGGAGTAAGGGGGAGGAATCCGATCTCTGATTTGGGAATACTCAACTGAGGTCAGCCTTTAGAAAACCAGAAGGTAGAAGGGAATGTGGTTAAGGGTTGGATTGTGAAGAAGTGACCACTTGAGGTGTGTCACTCCATTGCAAAGTGCTTTAGGAAGCTTCTTGCTTCAGGCTGTTGATCTCTCATCTCAACTGCTCCAAGAGGGGATCATCCCACCTAGAAGAAAGTGGAGGTGAACTGGCCTGTGAGAAGAGACTCCATAGTTCATGGGGTTATATCAGAGTTTTGCTGCTGGCCATATGGAACATCTGTCAGAAGCCAAGGCTGGGACCTGTGGAATGGGAGCCTTAGATTTCCATATCAGGGCCTAGTCAAGAATGTGGATAATTGTCTCTGAGCTCTCTTTATGAAACATTTTCTTGCTTTATTCTTTCATTCTTGGATC